ATGATTCGCATTCAACAGGCCTTTTCGGCGAGGATCATCCGTTTCCACTAGATATGGAAGATCCTAGATTTTTTGTTGGTAGTGTTAATTGATGACTAAGCTAGTAGTTCAATTTTTTTAAATAAAGTCACTGTGAAACGTACTCTAAATATACGTATCTAAATTTGCAAATGTCAATCATCAATTACGACATAGGCTATTTATTTTGTTATGAGTGGTAGTGTAATACGTCACTAATCCTTGTTCACGTAAACAAATTGTCGTACCTTGAATGATATGGCGATTTGTGTTAAGAGTCGTACTTTTCCTCATTTGAAAGTAGTTAAGTGTCCAACTACTCCTAATTAATTGGCTAATCAAGGTGACACTGGTAAACAAACATTCGGTGCTCATTCTTGCATGTTTTGTCGCGCAAAGAATTACGAGTGTATTATTGGTAACTAGTCATAGTAGAGTGGGTTTAACAGGAATTATATTATAGCGAGGATAATAGTAAAATGACAAGTAGATATTGGCTCCTGCAAGAATTGGGGAAGTAAATTTTGTACAGCCGATTAAGGGCATTTACATTTATGCCAATCCAATTTTACCATCAGCAAATTAAATTCCTGTATATCTACGAATCTTTAGCGGAGTTCACCATTACAGAACGAACATGCTAAAACTTGATATATATTGATTTGCTGCGATAGCTCATGAAATTCTCGTGTCGGTAATCTAATATAAAACCGAAATTTGTAGCTCATCCATAGATCGCAATCAACTGAAATACATATTCAGCCAGTCTAAATATGCAAATATTCCATCCAAAATATAGTAGTCCCAGTTCAGCGGCATTTTGTAAGTATTTTACACAAACTCAAATGGGCGACCGTTTGCCTACCGTTGTAAATCTTAGACAAACAATTTCAAATGATGTTGTTTATTTTTAAAACGACCCGACTGAATAATTGTTTTCTCCATTCATTCACTCAAACGTTCTCCATTTCAAAGAATGGATGACCGTTGGAAACAAAATCAATCGCGACAATCTGTTACAACTGCGGTTCAGAGCAATTGCTGATATATATAGCATCAGCCAGAAACCCTAAACAGGTTATATATATCGCGGAAATGTTGAATAGCCATTTCAGTTATAACGCTTTTTTTAGCATTGCCCACATAAAGGGAACTGCGTTGAAAACAACTAATTATCATGTATGTATATTAGCTTGGCTTTAATGCATCTGATGACAATGACTTGATGATTTCCTGCTTTCGGGTCATCACAATATTCGTATTCTGAGCTGGCCTTATGTGGGATACTTACTGACTGTATCGAATGACTGACTGTCGAATCACATTGTTATGAGCTGATAACGTATAGTGGTACTGGTACTGCCTGGTTATTACATTTCGGAAACGAGATCCGGAAATTAAATAGGTTACCGTATCCGTCGTAAACGATATTCTCTCTTGGTCATTGTTGCATACAATATTAGATAAATTTATTTCGACTCCATAATCAGCATAAAATGCGATTAAATGATTGATAAAAACAAATAAAATAAAACTGATTATGAAATCAGAAGAGCAAACAAAACCTTGGATAAGGTTTAGAACGTACAGAATATAAGCTGGAAGGTTTTGTCAAAAAGAAGTGGTACGTGCTCACTCACCTAAAATTATTAAATTTATCCACACACACACACGCACACACACACCCATAGGGCTATAATAAAGTTAGAAAAAAGAGCTTTAGATAAAATTTATAATAAACAAACAAACAAAAAACAAATAGTTAAATAAATAGAAAGAAATTGAAATAAGAATTGTTCGCCACGCCACTTGAATAATTTGATGAAAATTCCAAAAATTGACTACAGATTATGTAAACAAGACTGAACAGTATTTAATATGAAGAGTCAAATGTCAAATTGTCCAATCAAGGTTGCCAAAGTTGGTGTATGAAGAGGTGGGCTAAACCGCTTCATTCAACCGTGAGGAGGCTAAATATTGCCAAACTGCAGTCCAAATTACATCAATTATTAAATGCTACTGGTAACAGTTTAAGAAAATTTTATTAAATTAAGGTATTGGTACTGAGGTAGGTATTGGAATATGTTGGTTATTGCACCCTGCCCTGAGAAGAATATGGAGGGCGTTCTCCGTACCCTAAAATAGTTGCCATTTCACCATCTGAAGATGATTTAAGGGTGTGAGCGAGAATAGAGGAATTGAGGATGTTTTTTTCATAGGATCCTTTGAGATTAACATGGAAGATTCATCAGAGTCAGTCTATGTAAACTTTCTCACATATTTTACGTCATTCGATGATTGTGATGTTGCCTGAAAAACAAAAAAACAATCGGTGAGTAGGTGTTTAAAAAGACCTCCAGAAGTATGTGCACCAAGATGGCGCACAACCTGAACATAGTAGTTGTACCCGGTTAGGGTTCAAGTTCAAGCGCAATCTTGGTGCACATACTTTGGGAGCGCCGTCTAAAAGATTGCATATATGGAAACATGGTAACCTATTATTTATTAGGAGATAAATGAAATTGTTAAATTGATTTTGGGAGGTATTGATCATTAAATTCTTATCACTTTATTACTCATGGATCTCGATCGGTAAATATGTTGATAGGTATCTGTCTCTTTGTTTGTTTGTTTCACTTTCGTATGTTATGCGATATCTCACGGAAGCGAGGTTGAATCTGCTCCACTATATCTCGGACGAGAAGCTTATTGATTTTGGATGAATTATGTCGTATATTTAGCGACTAACTAATTAGTGATGGGACACGTAGTGTCTCTATTGAGTCAGAGCAAAGGAATCGAAACCGCAAGATCGATAAGTCGGCGATCGCTATCTAGTATTGGTGTTTGGAGGATCCAAAAGCTATTTCTGTTAGAGACACAAATATCACACCATGCAAAAACACTCAATTTTGATCATATCACTCTATCTACACTTTGGTCAACATGCCAACTCCACAGCAATAGCTTGCCTAAACATACAGTCCATGCTTACATTAAAAAGTAGGGAACCACATCAAATTAAAATCACCAACACAAAATTAAAAGTGGAGAATTCAATATAGCTCGACTGCTCGCCCTATTGCAATACTTGGAATCTTGCAGTAACTATATCATGCTGTCTACAACCCTCATCAAGATATATTACTACTTAAGCAGAAAACAAAAGCCATGCATGTGTAAAAAGAATGATCAAGACACCAAGAAAAGAAGCATGACCATGCAATTGTCAGAATGTGAACAGCTATTTACAAAAACTACCATCCAAGTATGTCAGTTGGAATCTGATAAAGCGAGCAAACAACATATACATATATATATATATTGATAAGAATGCTTTTACCAGATTGAGATTGACACAATGCCAATTACAATTTGAAGGAGGTATAAAAGAGCTCCACAGCACACCTAATCACAGGGGTTAGTGCTTGCAAGAACTATAACAGGATTCCTATTGCTGTTCAACATTCCCATGAAAATACAAAGTGCAAGTAAGGAGTTTCCCTTTTTGTCATGGACCGTCAACAAGATATTAATTTTTCTTGAAGTTTCATTACTTCAAAACTATCAACACGTAGCTAATTTCATACAAATATAAGGATAAATATCAGTGAGGTTTTGAAACAGTAATTTTTAATATTTGGATATTAATATTAGATAAGACTTGACTTGTTTCTGGAAATATTTTCTAGACTTCAACGTTTGGGAGAGAGTTCCAAAGTTTTGGTCCAGTAAAACACAGGGAATGCTGGCTCACAGATTTACTCATGAAGAGTAGGAACAAATCGGAGCCCCTTTTTCGGTTGGAGGTATATTTGATGAGTGTGTCGTTCGGGTAGTGCGTTATTACGAAAGTCATAAGCTGATGGCAATACTTCAAATTTCATCATATCTTCTACCTTAAGTATATTTAGCGATTTGAAGTAGGCTAATGGTATACAATACTCTTTCATACCTTCATTTCTTAAAAAATTATTACAAGTACTTTGCAATTTCGAGACGAGTGTTTTGTTTCCATGAAGCCAAACTGAGCAACAGTATCGGACGTGGCTGAGTAATAATGATTGAAACATTGCTAGTAAAGCCGATTGATTGATAGATTGGGAAACCTTGGCAGCGATTGCTAAGTTTCTTTTTGTTTTACCAATAACATGTGCAATTTGTGATTTCCAAGATAGACTTTTACCAAAGATAACTTCTACAAATTTTATTTCACTCACTCTTTCAATTTCTTTGCCATTGAGCGATAAAGATTTTGAGCAATTCAATTTTTTATGCTCATTTGGGTGTGAATGTTGGCTGGTTCTTGGTTCGAAACTTTGAATAAATCTTCCAGGTTTTTCCCATAGAGAATCAGTTCTGTGTCATCAGCAAACATGATTGACTCAGATGAGTCTAGACACCTAGGCATGTCGTTTATGTAAGCTAGAAAGAATAATGGGCCAAGTAAAGACCCTTGTGGAACTCCGTGCTTCATGACACAAATATGAATAGAGAATAAATTGTCATATTGTAGGAATTGTTGACAATTCATTCTCTACTACTACTATTATATAATAGCTCAAAATTTAAATCTCGACTCAGACATCAGAATACGAAAATGCGGACATGATGCTGTTGTCAACATTCATGCATTGCAGTCAAAATGTCGGTACTGGTACCCCGGTAGTGTGTGTACCAGGATAGGGTTAGGCCATAATTTTATTCCGATTTTTCTTATTCTAGTTCTATTACTACTACGAGTTCGGGGACTATCTGTGTTAGCCAAGTAAATATACCACCTCCCCATAGGCTTCAGTCCATTTACACAACTTGATGTGAAGTAGACCAACAAAATTAGTTACCCCCATATTGGTACGCACACTCCTGGAGCGCCAAAATGCCTATTCCAAATATTGCGCAATTTAGAATGTCAACAAATCTGACGATGTGACTACTGTCTAATATCTGATAATAAATCACCTGTATTTAAGAGGCCAATATCCATATCAAAACAGATGATAATCATTTATACACACTTTGGCATCATTATTACAAATTTATATCATACAAACCAATAATTGCACATAGCATAATGTTAAATATCCACGACCATAAAGCTTCAAAACTTAAAAAGCTGAAATAAACTAGCTTACTTCCCAGGTTTACCGTGAGTGTAATAAACATAAAATATTTTCGGTGAGCACCAAAACTACTGGATTGCATTAATATGCAAGCAGCAAGTGTGATTAATAGTGAAAAATTAAACATTTCAATTAAAAATATTCATCATTTAGGAAATGTACACGAAGCAGCAATTGCTTTTCTCTAAATTTCAACAGTTCTATTTGAACAAAAAAACAAGTCAAATAGCCAAGATTAAAAAAAATAGTCCACATACTCATAATTAGAACTCTCAGATACTGCATAAAAATTAATAACGATACAGAAAATGATAAATTTAGAATTGAAATTTCAAAATATACATTTCATAAAAGTAATGTAGCATGCTATAGGGAACCAAAAAACAGATTCATTCGTTACAAATAATGTAACTTCAAATGTTGTAATCAGCTACAGTTGTTTTACATAATTTTTGAACATTTTCCACTGTTGCTGGTAAATCTAAAAAAAATTGATATTTTGTCATAAACTGATAACGAGTTTATCATAGTACTTCAACTGGATGAAAATGGTTAGACATATCACATCTGTAATCGATGAGTACACAGATATTTTCTCACATTTATACTTTGTGCAGACAGTTACTGGCGTAATACTACGAAGGTTGAAATGTTGGGATATGAGATTTGAATATGTTATATTTAAAGTGAATTTATGATCAGAATGTTTCGAATATGTAAATTATGTGCGAGAGCATTGCCGGACTCTTCGCCACCGTAGGGTGGTTCACTTAACCGCTGGTCGGTTATAGTTTCATCCACCATCAAGTCCATACCTCTGAAAACAAGTAACTGGCTAACTAATCACATACCCGACATGGACTGGTAACCGATTGAGAGACCGTGGTTCACCATATGATTAAGCCTTATTATCGCTTTTCTCTCCCCCGGGATAAGTATGTAAATCTTATCTTAAATTCCATATTATAGTGGCATTTGAGATTCATTGATCCTAGCCATTGGGTGAACATTTTTAATTCAGATTCATTATTATTAAATGATTACCTATAGCAAAATAAGATGATTCCTTTCGAAATGCCTCAATGCATCGCTTCAAAGCAAAAACAACAGATGATGAAGTACATAGTGGTGGTTCTCCTGATGCTTTTGAACTTAAAATTCCACTCGGATTAGGAGCATCTTTAAGAAAAGTTATATTCCAAACAGTAGGAATATCCTTAAACAAAAATAATAAGAAACATAGAACATTGCAATATACTGTACGAGTACCATCATACTACTGTGCTATTTTAACTTAATGTAATATTTCTGATTATTTTACAGAGTAACAAATTTGGGAATTATTCATCATATTGGGGAAATCTTCCAAGAAATCAAATAAAATTATTAGTATTCTAATATTGTTGGAATGAACTGATTCAGCCTATTACTTCCATATCTAACTTGAACTGGTAACACCTTGAAAGAATATGATTCACCATATAATTAATTCATTGTTTTTCTTTCCTCTAGAACAGTGGTTCTCTAACAGTGGAGTGCCCCCACAAGGGAGGCATAGACAATTTTTTGAGGAGGCGTGAGCCGTGATGCTAATTAAAAATAAAAATATTTGTTAGATTCGATCTTGCCTGCCTTATTTTGCATTTTCCTTTTCTTCATTGTTTAGAGATTGCGATTCCATCCATCCATTTTCAACATTTTTTTTTAATAAGACATACTTTCGCCTTACTTTCTGTTATTTGTAGCTTATTTGTTAGCTACCGGGTAGTTATTATTTTCAAGGTGGGTTAAATAGGGGACTTAAAAAGTTTGAGAACCACCGCTCTAGAATAAAAATGAAGTACAAAATACACATACCTTGCTTGTAGGTGGTTTATATTCCCAAGTATTTTTTGTAACAAGTTGTCCTGAGGTCGAATCATAAACCATTCGTTCTGAGGTGTAAAAACCAACTCCCATCATGAAAGCACCTTCTGCTTGTCCAATGTCTATATCAGGATTGATGCTGTCAAAATTTGACATTGGAGTTTTTACTTTATATTTATGTTCCTATACAATACAATACTGTGATAACTTGACAGAACATTCAAGTGTTGAGATGTTACTTAAGAATATAGAAACTTAAGCATTTTTGCTATGAAATATTGCTATTTTTTAATTTTATGAGAATTGATTTTTATTAACTAAATCCCCTCTTATAGTCATTCGGGACGGGTTGGGCTTCTCTATCGCTGACTTTTTTTTAAAATAAATATACGTCAGTTGATTATCCAGCAGTTCAGTGCCCATGTTTTGGCCACGAGAGACCGTGGCCTGCAAAAAACAGAAGTTGCCTCATCAACACGACACATACTGTACTGAACTCTTGCAATGACAATCCAAAGAACTCCTAAATAAAATATGAAATTTCGGGTTTGCTTCGGGCTCGGGCCTGCAAATCCACTTAATTAGTCGGGGTCAGGTCGGGCTTATTACCCCCGGTCCTGGGTCTGGCCGGACTGGATTTTTGGACCAGATCTTACCATTAAGCACTATATACACATACCTCTGTCCACAGTCATACAGCATATCAACTCTTCTTAATACAAATTCACCGGTGATAATATCAAGCTCGACCTCTGTACATGCAGCTCCATAACTGTTGTATTGAATAATCTTTTCTGAATCATTGGCAAACCTGGAAAGAAATGAATACATGCAAACATTATACCCTGATTTAGTATAAGTTGATAATTTGACAGCGTAAAGCTGAAATTTTGATAAATTTTTATTTGAAACAATAACAAAGAAATAAATGCTTTCGAAACTGATCTTCTAAACAAAGCTACACCAAAGTATTTCAATAGAAAGTTAGAAAAAACATGTATGATTTTACGAACATATATGTTTTCCCCATTTCTCAGCAGACTTTTTTCAAGTTTCAAATCGTCTTAGCTTGCGGGCCATGTCGTTTCCACGGGAGTTAATAGATGGCCGCACTTTCTAATGTACCCAGTTATGTAGTTTTCTAATCAATTTGCATTCCGAATTTAGTTTGAGAGTCTTACTGAGTTTGGCAAGATTATACTTTACCAAGAGAATTGCTGCAGTAAACTACCTTGATTAGCTGATTGCTTTATAAATGATGTTTGATGATTTTTCACTTTTAACACACCCCGGGCTTATAATTTTATAACACTGTCCAGATTTATGATGTCGTATCACCCACCTATCTAAAGTAATTTATCAAGATGAAAAACACTGTACAATACCAATATTGTGCTGTCAAGTTAACTCCATTTTGATAAGCTTTGGCCACTTTATCACTCCATGACGATTCCTCTGTCAAGTTTAGTTTTTCATTAACAGCATCCAATCTTGTTTTCAATATCTTACAACTTTCAAGTATCGCCTGGTAGGAAATATATGTGAAGCATACCATTGTATGTAGAGCAGATACAGCACTCATGATATATTTCAAATTTAATGAAAACACAGAATAATACAACAGTGAACCTTCAAAATTCTATAAATCATAAGTTTAAGTTACATATTTCCAACATAAAATCTATTTTTAAAAATGGAGACTAACCTTGCAACATAATTCACTTGTTAAACTTCCACCAGTCGGCGCAGAGTTTGGATTTGCAGTGATATCACTTGCTCTCACACGAATTAAATCCATCGGTGCTCCAAGAATATAAGATGCAACTTGTATAAGCTGAAAATATCAAAATCAAGGACTATGAGAAGTGTCCATATATAAAGGGCTTAGGATCTCGATTTTGTTTCTTCACAAGTAACTATTTATCCTTTTTCCATGCTTACGCGTCAATGGACCCTTGTGTATATAATGTAAGGATGCTGTAGCCTTTCATTTTGCCATCCAATAGTCTGGAATAAATGCCAAGATACAGTTTTTAAACAAAGAATGTCAAATTCGACTGAAAATTAGATTATCTTTGGTCCTGAAAAACTGACTCTTGGATTTATAGTGAATAATATATTCCAGATGAACCACTGACCCCTCTGGTCACAAACTGACACACCATATTGGAGGCAAAAAACGTACCAACATTTCGGTCATAGAGATAATAAAACCAGCCGTAATTCAATCCAACACCTTTCATAGATAGGTATGCAGTTACTGTCAACAATGCTGTTACAACTTTAATGAGATATCAATACAATCCACCTGTTAACTAGGCATTCCTCGTAACTTGTCTTATTAATAGCATTCCCATATGCTATATGTAAAGCTCAAACTACACAAAACCAACCTAGGATTATAAAACTTGCGAAAATGGTGCGACAGCACGCTTCTCATTGATGCAGATATTATGGTGCTTTATTTCTATGACCAATGGCCTCGATTCGCCATCCCTGTTATGTTCTATCAGTGCTTCGCAACCGGTGTGCCGCGAGACAATGCCAGGTGTGCCGCACAGGAATTGCAACTTTTCTCTTCTTTTTACAAATTATTTTTTATCTTTTGTTAATTTTGCGTTAGTCTACCACTCTACTCTACTAACGTAAAATTAACCTGCTTTTACGTTAGCTTGAGCGACACCAATTCAAATTCCTGACACCCTCTACTGTGCATTTGTGACGTAACAAGGAGTAGGCCTATATGACAAGCATGTATATTGTAAAGCCTATTGTCAAGGCTAAAACATAGCACGTGTAGTAATCGAATATAAATAAAGTGTGAGTTTGCAGAATAAGTGCCCAGTTGTCTTAGATTAAAAATGTCAAGGAACGTAAAAGTTTAGCAAAATGAAGAAATTTTTAAAAAGAACAGCTGATACTGAGCAACATATTGTACCTAGCACAAGCAACGTTGGAAAAAAAACAAAAACTTGTCAAAAGGAAATACAGGGAATATTACGTCAAATATGGATTTTCTTGCTGTGGTAACGGAGATGCTCCAAAACCAGTCTGGGTTATTTGGGGGGAGCAACTTTCAAATGAAGCAATGTTTCTGAGTAAACTTATGCGCCACTTAAATACGAAACATGCCGTTCATGCACACAAGAATATAAATTATTTCCAGCGGTTGTTAAGTCAAAATAAGAAGCAAGAGTGCTCTGTGAAGTCGTCTTTTCCAGTCTCCGAAAATGCATTAGAAACTAGTTATCGTGTTGCAAAATTGATTGTGCGTCATGTAATGATCCTAATATAGAGCGATTGTGCTCTTTAAAACAACCACAAATCTTTCATTGTTATATGAACATAAAACAAAGTTACACCTTGTATTTTTCGTTTGTTGTGGTGTGCCGTCAAATTTGGCAAGTTTTATAAGTGTGCCGCAAGTTAAAAAAGGTTGCGGAGCACTGTTCTATATAATACTATATAATAAACTAAATGTATTCTTGATCATCTCCATCATAAATATTTGATACCTTAGTGTGCATTCCCTGTCCAACATCAATTCCTCCCGCAGACAAAATAATTGTTCCATCAGTATGGAATATGCTGACTTGTGCAGAATATTGGGCTCCTTCATAACTCAATCTATAATGAGATGTTATCTTATGATGGGATTCAATATTGCCTTCGAAAAATAAAATGAACCAGGCAGCTCAATCATTATCCAGATACCTTCAGTGATACAGTAGAATTTATGCATTGTGTGCATTCTTGAACATTTTTACATGATTCCTATTAGTGCATTCAGCTAATTCAACTGAGTTAATAATTTTGAAAGGACCAGAATTTTTGTGGTTCGCTTAAATTTAATACATCCTGGGCGAGTGAGGTGGTGGGCATGAGTTATACACAAAATGCGTAACCTGATATGACAATACAGTTAAGTCTAACACATTGAACGCTAGGTCATCGCACCCAAGCCCAACAGATAACAATATTCTTGCGTTGAACAATATTTGTGCAACAGAAAGAAGGGTGTAAGAAAACCTTCGAATATTGGAATTTGAATGGAATTTAAAAATCCGAATATTGTATAAAATTGTAAGTTACCCAAATTTCATTGGAGAGAAACCAATTCCTCTTTTCTTCCATTTATTAGCATTATTGAATGCTGTGATATCAGACTGTCTCTGAGTCACTTCAGCAGAAGACAACAAATCTAAAAACACCATAAACCTCAAAAACTGTAATTTGAAAAAAATATGGACCAGATGTACATTTGGTAATATAAAAGAATAATAATGTGTAATAGCAGTAGAGTAGCTAGCAATCGTTTTGTCATATTTTCCTCTCTTGGAGCAGACACAAAATCTTTCCTTGTAAAGTTATCATCCCTTTGATAATTTCATATTCTCTTCTTTATATTAATAAGTTTTTTAACTTACATTAATCAGTGAAATCCTATTGAACTATATAATATTCATACCTTCACTAAGTTTTTTGATATTGCAGTAAGTCAGAGGTTCCTTAAACAAGTTGAGTTGGTTTTGTACATATAAATTGCCCTGTTTAACTGTGATCGGATCGATTCCAACATTATTTGCAATGTGTTCCTGAATAACTTCCATTATCATTACCATTTGTGCTGATCTGGATATTTAAAGAGAACATTTTAATTTGATATTAGGATAGGACACAATTTTCACTTTTATTCTTAGCAAAAAGGAAAGCTTATAAGATGGCCAAATCATAAAAAACAACGACGTCTCCGTTATCATCACCGAGTCATATTAAATTGAAACATACAATGTACCAAGCATAAAGAATACTGAGAAATTAAACAATACTGACTACCCTAAGTAGATTCACAGATTTCAAATCTCAGATAACATGAACATGCATGAAAAGATTGCTGGATTTTACATAGACCCTCTAACCACAGATTGGCTTTAGTTTCTTTCACCATCTAAGTTCATGCATCAGGAATTATTAGTCAATTGTCTACTCCAAGGCTGGGCAACCTGCGGCCCATGGTCCAAATGCGGCTCACAAAGAAAAATTGTGCAACACATGAAAAAGTGTGAATTTTGAAATGTGTGCGGCTTGCGAAACAATTTTAATAATTTACCAGTAGTTTAATTTGGTACGGGCAGATCCAATCCCTTTGCGTTGCAAAGCCTATACCGAGGTCCAATTTTACTATCCATGCCTATGTCACAATGCCATAACAGCTAGCTTAAGCGAAGCAAACAACACATGTCATGAGATCAATAACCAAAATTTTCATGCCTGTAACTACTAGAAAGCGTATGTTAATAAAGGTGCGTCCTGCGGTTTCACCCAGTTATTTGTATCTGGCCCTCCGTCAATCTGGTATTAAAGATTGCACACCCCTTAGTCCTTGCATGATTCAAACAAATCAGAAAAACTAGAAGCATTTTGAATTGTGCTTCAGCTCTCTTCAACATGAAATAAATTTGATGTTGATTACATTACAACCCACACCTTTTCATAAAAATACTTACTGTTAGATAGAAAAACACTTACGTTGGAGATCTGCACCATGTTGGACTCGCAAGATCTGTCTTCACCCACTTGATATTGAGTTGCCATGCAGGACAGTGGTAACCTAATTTGTAACATGGAAATTAGTCATCGTGATTGGTTATGAACAAACAAATTATCATTAATACAAGAGTTGCAGACAAAATTTAGATTAGAACAATAATTGATTTTTGAATGATGTAGCTGATATTTGGTCAGACTTTTTCTCGTAACTCCGAAGAAAAGGTTATAGATTAAATTTCAGGTATAAGTCAGGTTATATATTTATATAAATTGTAGAACAGTGATGGCTGTACTGAACTTAATGCATAACATGACAGGATTATCCACTCTACTGAAAATATGAAACCAATCTACATCCTCCAGTTTCATCGTTCAAAGCAGGGTTTCCCAAACTGGGGTTTACGGAGGTCCGTGGTGACTGCACAGGGGGTCCGCAACAATATGGAAAGAGTCTTATTAAACATATACAAATGGATCATATTCTCATCGAATTACCATTAGCCTGCCAGTATTCGGCATTAGTATGTATTGATTCAGACTTTCATGTGTTTTATTTCGTCAAAGGAAACATTATCCTTTCTTGTCAGTTAGGCACATAAATTGATAAGGCATATGATGGGGGTCCATCTAAAATGAGATTCACAGACAGTGGTCCGCGGACCGAAAATTTTGGGAAACCCTGGTTCAAAGTACTATCTTATATAAGTCTAACTATAAATTGATTCAAGATCAGTCGAATTTGGAAGATTCTGAATTGATAAGTCCAGTATTTTTTATTGACTTCATTCAATATATGGCTTCTAATATTAGTATTTCACATCAAAAATGATTCAAGTTCTATGTCAATTCGTATTCGCTGACATCCACATAGTATTAAAGCACTCACACAGAGCTCTGATTGATCAAGAAGTGTGGGTACCATTATGGAAGAAACTAATTTTGTTAGCCTACTTTACATCGAGCTGTGGGGACTGAAACCTATGGGCAGGGGGTATATTTACTTGGCTAACACAGAAATTCCCACAAACTCGTAATAGAACTAAAATTAGGGAATCATGCCCTAACTTTGATCTGGTACACACACTACGGGAGTACCAAGCTCTGAACATTAGCTTTTGGTGAAACCTCACTATATTTCTTTGAACACATAAAGAATCAAACAAATGTTGACTTACCACTATCTCCAAACTGAGAAACAGTTCCTGTTACTACATCTGGATCATTTGGACTTACTCCACAGTTTGCATAATATGTTACAATGATTCCTTGGAGCTTTCCTTGATCATCAAAACCTGGGTAATTATTTGAATAGCAAGTCAGATAAATTTGACAAACTACGATGCAAAAACATACAATATATTTTGTTTGAGTTGTAGGTGTACTGCTTTTCAGCACAAGTCAATATAAAGCCACATATTCCACATCAACAAGTCCATTCACAATTTAAGAAAAATTGACTCATATATTCTTTTTATGTAATTGTATAAAAACTTCACAGACACTCTTTATAAGTTCTTAACATTTACTAACATTCCCGCTATATAAATAAATGATAATAATGCTCAACAATCAAATTCCAAAATAAAATGCTTGTCACGAAACGACCCTTTTTTAACCTCAGACTTAAATTGGATGAAAAAATTATTGTCCTGGAAATATCAAGATTCAGTTTGAAATACAGTGTTTGACAGATACAATAGCAGTGCAATAAAAACATAAAATATTTCTACATAAAAAAGAGTCCGTTAAAAGGTAATCCGCCTTAAGATATGCCTGATTACACATATTATGTAAATAAACCTTTGATTAAAGTTATGAGAGAAATTACCAACTGTATAATCGGCAACATACGCTGGTCTGCATCCGTAAGTTTCCATGCATCTTTCCAGATCACAATGTAATCTCACTGGTTTTCCTAAAATTATAATTAGTTGCATATATTAATGTTGAAATTGGCTACTTTATGTCTAAAAAACTTGCGGAATATCAAAATCAAAATCCACACAACTAAAATCTCAACTTTTGCTAAATTCTTGGGTCAAACCAATCAATTTCAAATTTTCCATTGGAGAAGAAGGTTGAAGCCATTAGAGAGCCATTACTTTGGATTTGGTCATTGTATCTTAAAATTTACATATTTATCCCGGGGGAGAGGAAAGTGTTGAGTAAGCTTAATCAAATGGTGTGCCACGGCCTTGTCCGATTACCAGCCCATGTCGAGCATGGAATTAGTTAGCTAGTTATTTTGTTTTTAGATGCATGGACTTGAATAGTGAAGAAGGCCGTAACCGACTAGCGGTTATGAGAAACACCCTACGACAGCGGAGAGTACAGCAATCCTCTCGCACATAATTATGTGATGGTGGCAAGCGTATTCTTGATGCTTAGCATGATGCGCCACGCCACCGAGTTCATATATTTGAGTATTGCTCTCTTTACAAAATAACAACGGCGAGGAGTCCAGCAATCCTCTCGCACATAATTATCCCTCACATGATTCGAACCTGCAAACCCATGCAGGGTAATCAGAGGTGCTGTCGCAAGCGTATTCATAATGCCTAGCACGATGTGCCAGACCACCGAGCCCATATATTTGAGTATTGCTCTCTTTACAAAAATAATTTACAAACCAAATTTGTCAATCACCTGATATATAGCTTGCCAATGTAGCAGCTGAAGCTGTGATCAAACTATTTGTTGCTTTGCCACCATATGCTCCTCCTACACGTCCTGTTTCGATGTGAAATCTGAAAAGAATAAAAAGTAGTTTGTTGGGGAAAAATTATTTATGCCATTCAGTTCAATGCTAAAAATATGAAACCTGTTACAATCCCATCCCAACATGAATGACAATGATCTTTGAACTTCATCTTGCCACTGGGTGGCACTCTCTACCTGGAAACCATCCTCTGTGGGTTTTGCTCTTGTTACTTGAGTTTCCATGTAGAAATGATACTGACCACCTATATTCACTTTTCCAGTTACCTTTTCATGAACAAAATTTTAAAAAAGACATACAGTAAATTCGAAAGTTGAAAATCTTCATCAACATTACTATAATTTCATACCCGAATTCCAAGCAGTTTTCTACTCTATTATACTGTTCACATTATTTTTTATTAAATTCTGACTGATATCATACATGAGCCAGGGATGAAGTGTGGATATAGAGTAAACATAAGAAAGAAGGGCAGAAAAGAAAAAAATATGCCGCTAAAACATTAAATGATTCGAATATTCGGTTAGAATCAAAGTTGGCTATATTCAATATTCTAAATTTTTGATTTTCGGAACAAATTAGAATAGTTTCACTTAAAAACTAATTATTTTGAGCAATTGAAGTCTCACAATTAAATTAAAAAGGATTTTTTAAAACTGTTACAAATACGATCAAATCACTGTTTATCTGCAATATTCTAGACAAAATTATTATGGCTTAACGAATGCTGACATTAATGATATTATGCATGGCCTCACGTATATATCATATTCAAAAAACATAAAACCTTCCGTGGAGCGCTTGCGACTGCAGCTGCAGCATCACCAATGACAACAGGATCACCAGAATTATCAAAAAACATTCCTTTTTCAATTGCTTCTGCCATTTCGAAAACTCCTGGACTTTGATTTTTATAGGTAACTGTGATAGCTCTGGATATTGCTTCGGCATGATCTTGAGTGTCTAAATATTTATCAAATTTAAAACATTTAGAAATTCCAGAACCCCCTTTGAAAATTCTTGGCTGTGCCCCTGTCCAGTGTATCCAAAACTAGAAATATATGGGCAAAAGATACAAAATGTATTAATTTGTGATGTCTAAGGCAGCTACCAATGGAAATTCAATATTGAAGGCATTTTGTAACATCTTACCTGCCAAAACAATTGCTACAGGTTGTCCAGCAAAATCAACATGGGATTCTGCAATGATCGGTTGATTTTGATTTGGAGGTGAAATATATGTATTCGTAATTTCTGAAGGTAAATCAGCACCTGAAATAAAAAGGCTAGACAATGGTGAATTTTCCCCCACTCCACATATCTGGTTTTACGAAACACAGTCATTTTTAATACATTATTTCATTGAATAACATGCACCTGTTTTAAATGAATTTTCTTACCAGTAATTATACTATGATATCCAGGCATTTGCATTGCTGCTGAGGCATCAATTTGATCAATATCAGCATTAGCAGTAGTTGCAGGAACAAACACAGCGAATAATTCGTCACTCAAGGCAGCAAAGTCAGATGCATATATTGCTTCACCAGATGCCTTATAAAATAATGCACCAATATATAAACACTGAATCCGCTTTGGTATGACTACGCCAGTGAGGGAAATAAAAATGGGTGCGTACTCATTTCTTTTCAATGCGTTTTTATTTCTTTTAGGTTCTAGGTTGTTTTAGATTGATGGATGTTTCCCCGAGCATCATTTTCTTGTTTATTTCAATAACAATTACAAATAATCACTAAGTTAAGAATGACGTAACAATTGGAATTGATGCCGCTGCTGAGAGACTTCTTTCGCTCAGACAGAAGTATTGCGTGTTATTGTCAGTTTTTGATTGTTTTTGAATAAAAATGATAGTTTTGAACATGTGAGCCAGTCTGTGAGCGACAATCCTCCAAAACACTCACAAGATCAGCGTTGGAAATTTTGCATTGATAAAGTATAGGGAAAATCTTTCAGGGTTGAAGGAAACATCCATACCCATGAGGTTCTATTTGATTTCTATTTTGAAAACCACATCATGGAAATAGGCAGGAAACAGCTTTCAGATTTTGAAAAGAAAGTGATTTATCTTCTCAAAAATAAAAATCCGACTAGGAGACTGACAAGATGTCTAGCTGTGTTACCGATTTTATTTTTTCTGGTTTTCTAGGGACCACCCTTGTATATTGCATGTCCCAACTAATCTTTCTTCGCGTATTAATATCATACCTGTTTTATTGCTGTTACTTTGGGTATAGCTTCAGATACTGGGTACATGCTTGCATCGGTATCAAATGTTTGCGTTGCACTGGTAAGAGGTCTTTGTATGCTTTCAATGGCTGATGACACATCTGGACTTATAGCTGATTCATCACACAAGGAAAGATAGAACTAGTAAAAGGAAAATGGATGAATTTTGAACAGCTTCAAGTTAACGCATCGTGCTAAGCATGGAAAAATGCTTCCGTTGTCGCAACTCTGGTTTTCTTGCTGGTTCATAGGTTCAAATCCTGTAGTGGAATATTATGTGTGAGAAGATTGCTGGATTCCACATCCTTATGATGTGGTTCAGAACGGGTTTTACACCATCAAATTCATGCATGTAAAATGAATAGCTCATTAACTATCCGTAAACTAAGAAATCACACTAAACCTATATACATTCAAATAGAAAATTCTAAAACACACTGGTCTAACAACAATAATAAATATCTTTTTATGTAAAAGTCTTCAAAATACCGAAAAATTTAATTACAGAATAAAAATAATCACTTACTATACAGTGATAATAAATTACATCAATAATATAAAGAGAATTACTTTATAAAACAATCCAACTGCAAGAGATCTCCTGTAAGAAGATGAACTGTCCGATGCTTTATATGACTCAGGTCTTATCTCGACCGCCAAAAGTTTCAAAGCCCCTGAAGAAAAAGTTGTTTGGTTGACAGTGGAAGGTAGTAAGTTGATGGCATTGGATTAGATATGGGAAGCCAAATTTGTCTTACAATAAACAATAAGATCCAGATGACATAACCGATATATTTACATTTGGCTCGAAATCAATTTTGGTTTGATGTATTAGTCCTGCAGAAATCAATAGTAAATCGATATATCATCAGGCTAATAACCGAATTGCCTAAGTCATTTCTGACGGTTCTGAGTTTTTTATAAAATAGTTACCGTATTTATGTAGGCCTAATGATGCACACCTGTCTGTTAACTCAGATTTTATCCCAAGAATTCCGAACCCCAAAAAAGTGGAGATTTTGTGTGACATGCATAAATTCTTGTAATTGTTTTGTCATAATAAATTGTCATTGTTTACCGCAGAACCATTGTGATGTCACAAAGGCAAAATAACATCGGCGAAGTATTTTCGAGTTTTTGCCTCTTAAATTATAGCTCAACGCGTATAAATTTAAATTTACGCTACAACATAGGAAAGTGTACACTTGTGATATGCCCTATCTGAGTCCAATTCACATTGGTTGGCTTTTATTTAAGAGTGCATTGCTACTTTATTCTTTATATTTAATATATATGAAAAGTCTTTTTTTCGGTTGGTGTGCAGAGCGCGTTATATTGATGAAATATTTATTTCAAACATAAAAAATAATGTTTTTGAAACAGATGAGCTATTTTTGGGATAAGACATCGTAGATACTGGAAATTGTATACTTTTTCTAATGTTTGGTGTTCAGGACTGGTGCATATAGTCAAGTTGCAAAATTGCGTATGTCCCCAAGTCATAGGCACATTTCTGCCTAAGTCACAGTGCGCCATTATGACATCACATAACTACGTCATGCCAATTAATTCAAATCAAGGTACGACTAAAGAAATGAACCCTGGGAAATTATTTACTCTCAATGGCATAACAATATCATCAGGAAGTTTTTTACGTTTTTCTCAAAACTGATAAAAATGACTCAGGCAATTCGGTTATTAGCGTGACGATATATTTATGTGTAAACACAAGTGAAAATTCAAACAAATCTATACCAAGCATATGGATAATTAAAAAATTGCAAACCATTCAATGTATCTTGAGAGTTTATCGTTTTATTAAGAAGATATTGTTCAGTTTGAGTAGCATGAAAAAATGTTTTGCTGATTCCTCCAAACACAAGACTTGGTTTTGAAATTTTTTGTCCGTCAACTGCAGCATAGAAAGCTGCATTCACATATGCATGTGCATTCTGTTAATATTTGACAAGATATGTGTCACATGAGTTTCGAAATGTGTGGACACAGTTTGACCTTATAATACAAATATATACAGTTTATTGTCGAGGTATATCCGTATTTGCTAAAGAGGATCAAAACTGCACAGTCATGGGTAAAATAGTTTTTTAAAAAGGCAAAATTCAACTAACTTCAATTTAATCATTTTTAAATATGTTTTTCAAGTGTTTGACATAAGCCATACATACCATCCTTGTTGAAAAAAAGTCATTGATAAATGATTGAAAATATTTTTGATTTCAGACATCGTGCAGTAATGCATGATAGTTCGAAGTTTAAAGTCACTGATTTATCAAGGTCAATTAATTACTCACGTAGGCATAGAGAGAAATATACATGTAATACCATAATAATTGGATTAAATCTTTTTTCTAATTGCAACAATTTTCAACAGACAATCAATAGACTGTGAAAAAATTAAGAGAACTGATTTATAATTTGACACAGCAGCAACATTTGAAAAACTAACATTTTGTCTGAACAACTCTGACATCTATGGCAAAAGCTTGTAGCTTACGTTTACATTAAAATGTTATTACCCCAACGGTCAAGTATGTGCATCTGAAACAAATAACTAACTAACTAATCCCATACCCAACATGAACTGGCAACCAGACGAGAGTTCACGGTTTGTCATATGATTAAGCCGTTTTATCGACTCTCTTCGCCCTTGGGATAAATATGAAAATCCTATCCAACTTATCCAAATTGTAGAATGAATGATCTACAACAAACTGAATTCTAAAATTAAAAGGAAAGCTTGAATACAAAACTATCATACCTGTGATCTTGGCATTACTTTGTAACTTAGAGCATGTTGTGTGCCATTTGAAGTTGATGCTACTTTTGGTATTGTAGCACTTAATACAACCTGGTAATGATAAAATTTAATTCCTGAAAATTATCCACAATATGGGAACTGAAAATTTCTATTACGCGAAATGCTTTATAGAAAATTTGATACTTTCAAATAAGGTCTTGAGATTATATTTAAATAGTGTTATTTTGAAATACCTAATAAGCAAGAATATTTTGGATAAAATAGATATTAGTAATCCTTGCATTGCATAAAAAGGCCAAGTAAAATACAAAATTATAATAAGAAAATCTGAGTAAAATGGTGAAAATTTTTTTTATAATTTTTTGCTTCTGTTCTATGAAAACAATATTACAAATACCATTATTTCAAAAACTCCGTATTATGCCACACTTTTTGATATTTGCTCAAAGCAAGGTCACAATAACTCACTCAGAAATCAAAGATAATGATTTGTTAGTGAGGCTATGGGCCAATATGCTACAAGCAACAATTGTGTAAGATAGTGCGCTAGCACTGCGAGATGTGAAGCAGTTCGTGCCAATACTACTGTCAAGGAAAACAGCTATGAAATAGTGAATTCCACATAACTGAAATTGGAAAAATAGTTTGGGCATGTACCTTCTTTTGGTGCTCCCGAAGTATGTGAACCAAGATGGCGGACATCGGAACGTAACATGGGTAACAGGTTAGGGTTAGGCGATAATTTTTTTCCAATTTTCCTTATTTTAGTCCTATTATCAGTTCGAAGACTAGCCAAGAGCCTCCCGTAGTATTTATACCTAAAATTATGGCCTAACTCTAACCTAGTACACATATTACATTCCGATGTCCGCCATCTTGGTTCGCATACTTCGGGAGCCCCCTTTTTTATCTTATCTGATGAACCGAGTTTGAAAGAATTGCATGCTATATAAAATTCCAATTAAAATCTAAAAATAGCCTTATATAACCTTTCCACTCATATCAAGGTTGATGAATCCTTCATCTCCGATCAAATCATAAGTTTTCTGATTTCCAGTTGAACAATCAAGTATTTGCAATTTGACAGAATAAGCTTCGAACAATGTGAACATATCAGAAGGAAATTCTGGATGAAGACGTTTCATGGTTAAATTTCCAATCCATGAACCAACCTAAAGATAAAAAAAAAATAAAGATAAACATGATGAAATGCGACTGTCAGCAGATACTGCAAATGCAATTACTAGAAACCCTACTTAAATATTAAATGAGAACTCAACTATATATGCGTGAATAGTTTGTATTGTAGCTTGATATGACCATAACGTTTTTAAATATTCATTTAATGGCATATTTTTGTTTTGTTCTGTCTGTGTGTGTACTGTTTTAACAATGCTGGCCACATCAATATATCAATTAGGGTACAGACCTGTTTACATGTGATTAGTGTTTTATCCTAATAATTGTTTAACAGAGTTTCTGTACACCGAATTTACAACCATAGTTTTGAGTTTGTTTGTATCTTAAACCCCTTCATCACCTTTTCAGTAATGCCCAATCTAGCCATTAGTGTCATTATCAATGTAAGTGTTAAAAGTACAACAGCCCGAAAGTTTAATACTATCGCGTATTTTGTTAATTCAATTATGGCCCAAGCCTCATTTAAATGGGTTTGTGTGTGTGTGCTGGTCGGCAGGCACATGATATTTCCCATGTTTTAAATTTCTTTGTTCAAAGTTTTGCTTGCTCTCCAGAATTCTCCATTTTGAATTTGTGTGTGTGTTATGTAGTTTTCAAAATAAACTATTTATCTATCTGATGTAAGTTTCGGTTTATTTTCAAAACATTGTATCAGTATCAGTTGCCTAGAGGGGGAAAAACAGCAGTGTTGATTTAAGAACATTTCATTTTCAAAAATAAATGATTGTGTAGAGATATCCAGTCTATTAAATATTCTATATTTGTGAGAGATTTGCTGGACACCATGCCGTCATGGGGGGGTTCACGTAACTAATTTTCCTTCACTGCATCTGCAACAAATAACGGGTTACCATTGCCATACCAGACATAGATTGGTAACCAGATATGAGGCAATGGTTTCCCATATGATTGAGTTGTTTCATAATCTTTTCTCTTCCCGTGATATATATGAGCTACCCTATATGTCAGAAGAATACATACTCACATTTCTGACTGGTACATTGGCTATTTTCTTTATATGTTTTGCCATCACATCAAATGTTACAGATTCTGAAGCATGTTGTTGTAATGTTGCAATCAGATTGTTCAAACTCACATTTGCACCAACAGTTAATGTATTCTCGCCATTGTTTATCTTAATGAAAAAAATATATTAACCGCGTTATACGAACCAATAAAATTCACTTCGATACATTAAAACATTTAAAATAGCAGTGAGAAGTCTAGACCAGATGTTCTCAAACTTAATCTTACAAAGAATATCTTGTGAAGACGCACAGACAAATAGGTGTGCAACTGCAGTGATTAAAATCATATACCGGTAATTGTTTATGGTAGCAAACATATTTTAACACAATATAATATATTGATGCTATCGATTGGGTTTCTACAAGACTAACTACTTCACCGTCTTCTATGCTTTTGCGCCGATGGATCCGTATGCATATAATGCAAGGATGTTGTAGCAAGAGTGATAACTATTCTAAGTGATTCAATAGTCTTGCTGCATATTAACACAAATATATTTCTGTAACGTTTCCTCTGACCAAGGTCAGACTTGCTCAGACATACATAGTTCAACTAAAGGTTAAACTATGTCTGTCTGAGGAAATATGACCTTGGTCAAATGAAACTTTACAGAAATATATTTGTGTTAAAGTGCAGCAAGACTCTTGAATCACTTAGGATAATATATTCATGCTGCAGAGGTTTAAAAAAGGTATATAATATCACTGTAGTAAGTAGGACCAAAAAATGATTTGGTTTTTATTGTAGCACATATGAAGATGTGGTCGGAGTAAATAACACATATATATATATATATATATGGTTTTGAATAAGTCCAAATGAAAGGAAAGTATGTTTTAATGATTCTGACATCAAATTTGATTCTGACATCACATTTGGAGATTCATCAATTCCGACTCGCCCGTTTGACACTACTTTCTGAAGTATATAAATTTTTCTATGACATATTTGTGTACCTTGCGCTCTAAACAAGGCTCCACATAAGCAGCCACTGTCAGGTAAATAGCTACCATCATTTGAAAGGACCAGATTTTTCTGGTTCTGCATTGCCTACCCTTTAATTACACCCTGTGAGAGGTGGTAGGCATGGGATTTGAACCCAATATTCTAACTTGCGATGCTATAATAGCTAAGTTTATTGGCCGGCATGTACATTAAATATTCTTTATTGATAATATAGAAGCAAACCTGGTAGAGATCAGGTACAAGTTTTGTGTCGACATAAACATCAAATGGTTCTTCATATTTAAAAACACCTGAAAACAAAACATTATATTTTTATTGCTACACAAAAAAAGACAAAATACAGTGTTTAACTCATATTTACCTAATTCTCTGTCTGTACATTGTGAAAATAAACCGGACAATTTATAGATCAAGATTGGGTGATATCCGTGCGCATAATTTAGAATTTGCAGGTATGATCATACCAGAGTATCCTTACTGGCTGAATACAGATTCTTTAATCACAATAGTATTATACAAAATTATAAATAATATACTAAATACCCAAGTCCATGCTTCAAGGAACAAGTAACTGGCTAACTAACTACATACCCAACATGGTCTGGTAACCGAACAAAAGGCCGTGGTTCGCCATATGATGAAGCTGTATTATCGTCTTTCCCCTCCCCGAGATAAATATGTTAATCCTAGTCTATATGAATATGGAAGCCTCTTACATTTTTATACATACCACATACCTGTACTGGTGTTCCCGACCACGAATCGTAACTTTTTATCTGCATTGTTCTTCACAGCATCTGTAAGCTCTGATAGAGATCCAGGTCGTAACCATTGTGAAGTACTTCCAGTCTTACTGTTTATAAGCTTAATTGGTCTGGGTAACACAACTTGTGTCCAATTCTTCTTAAAAAAATTCCATAATGCTATGGGAACATGGTGCATAAATAGCAAAGTATCTTAGAGCGAAGTGTCCAAGTAGCCAAAATTCTATATATATAGATTTTGATTATAACAGTTATAATATGAAGACAACTAAGTGAATGAAAAATCTAATCCATGTGAATGTTGTCCTTACAGCTAAAATCTCTGAAAATCTGAAGTTATTGGTGTAAAAAATGGTCAAACCTCATCTTTATGAAGTTGAGAAGTTGTTCCATCAGCCCTGTATCTTCCACAGCTGTTCCTACAGTCAACTCCATTGTTTTTACATTTAGATTTGTCACTGTGACAGACATTCAAGTCCTGTAATAAGGAAATTTTGTAAAAAAAACTAACTTTTCTTATATTTCAGGTTCAGATTATTCTAAACCAGGGGTGTGCATTTAAGATTCAATATTTTTCACATCAAGCCTAAAATCCTAATCTGACAGTTTATGTTTAAAAAGTGGATCACATGGGTAAAATACATAGGTAATGTTTCTTTGCTCTTGTCGCTGTGTTAAATCTTTCGTCGCTTTGCACAGTGCCTTTATTAATGTAAGGCTAAGCGATACCCGTATTCTCTTCTTTTTGTGTGGCCAGCTAGATGTCAGAAGTTGGTTATATGGCCCACAAACAAAAAATGTTGCACACCTCTAAACGAAACGGAATCTGAACAAATTGTGACCCCTAACTCTCAGATATAGTGGAGTGAAAGCACAACCTGTCATATAATATGGCATGTCTATAGCGCTTACCTCAATATCTGAACAAATCTGTTTTAATTTTGGATCAGCATTTGTGGCAAAACTTTTCATTGCATCAAGAATGGAACGAAACCCTGTGCAGCGACAAATATTTCCATCAAATTCTCCTTCAATTTCTTCCTGAGTAGGATTTGGATTCTTTTGCAATAAGCTTACAACAAAATAGAAACCAAAATTACAAATAGAAACAACAAATTTGGCCAAGTGAACTACAAAATGAGTGACCAAAATTTGAAGGTTACAAAATTTTTTTATATAAAAAGAAACTTTTTTTGTGTGTTTATGCGTTTTCTGTAGGGTACATGTGATGCGATCATAATTAAACAATTATAAAACAAAAGATTTTTGATGTAAATTACTAAACACATATTCAGCAATATTATTAGATAATTTTCTTTTTGACCATGGAACATAAATGAAATTTTGCTTTGTGGCCATTTGCCTATACTGAGTCAAATAGGTTTATCTATATAAGTATCAACCTAGAAATTTAGGTAGTGAAAAACATTAATTCAGTTATCAATCGAATTAGTACAAAAAATCCTACGGCATCAGCATTATTTCAGTTCCGACATCACAAAGGTTTTCTTTAGTAAGCATTTCAAAAATGTACCCTAGTACATGTTGCCACAAATCAAACACAATAAACAGATTTTAACAATCTATTCAGAAAACAGTTTTGGCATGTGATAAATGAACAAAACATGATAAACTAATATAAAATTCAACTTATAGTACATCAAACTGTTAATAATAGGTAATTGTTGAATCGCCAACCTGTACATGGTCATAACAAATCCTGGAGTGCAATATCCACACTGTGTTGCATTAAAATGAGCAATTCTCTTCTGTATGTCATTGTATTGACCTCCGTTTGTGACAAGACCTTCTGTTGTTATCACATGACATCCATCAACAGATAAAAGTGGAAACAAGCACTGCATATACAAGGATATGTTTGTATTGTGAACATTAAAAGAAATTTAATTTTACGGTGATATTTGTACAGTAACAAAGAAATTTGTGTTAATTCTTGTTAACTATACCTAAGTAACAATAGGATGGGATTTACATATTTATCCCGGGGGAGAGGAAAGTGATAAGACGACCTAATCATATGAAGAACCATGGTCTCTCGTCCATGTCGAGTATGGAATTAGTTAATCAGTTATTTGTTTTCAGAAGCATGGACTTGATTGTGGGGGAAGCTGAAGTGAAACAGGGGAACAAATGCATCAATAATGAGAGTTGGCTAATAACTTGAAAGTTCTACAATCTTTCCAAATCCACATATCGTACCAAATTTGTGTTGGCATTGTCAGTTGCACTCCCGGGGTCAAATCACATGCTCACTACCCATCTAGGGTGCAATAAATTGGGTAAACAATGCTTCACCGGAAAGATTCCGATCTGGTTTCAAAAATTGTAGCTCGTACATATTAATGGTTGCCATGTTCAGAGCAAAGAGACGTGAAATGAACATAGTATAAAATATTTAAAAAAATAACTTTTGTGAGACGTGGGCTATTATCTGCTTACAAGACAAATCAGGACTTAAACCATATCTCTAATGACAGAATGATCATTGAGCCACAAATAAAATTTTACTTTTTTCCTACCGAATTAACAGCAGTGTTGACATCTTTTCCTGAAACAGGATCAGAACGAGTAACCATGACAACACATGATCCACATCCTCCTTCTTTACACATTGCTTTCGTTCCAGTCAACTTTGCATTATTCCTCAACCATGAATTTAGAGTTGTTCCAATATCAGGATTTTCCACTAGGAAAATCCAAAATAAAATAATGAAAATAATATGTTGTTTCAAAGTATATTTGTAAAAAACAATAAATTCACAGGCATCTCATATTTATTGAAAAAAATGAAATTTTTTTAAAACAGTTTTGAAATTCAACAGAAAAGATAAGGAATCATAACTTCATAAGTAATTCCTTTATGAATACTTGAAAGATTTGAATGTTTCATTACATGGGTTTAGTCTTGTTTCTATAGTATTTCTATAGCATCTATAGAATTACAATATATAGAATAAAATATCAAATAAACAACCTCTTGCAAATAACAAAACCTTATTCTCAATTTCACTAATACTCATGAATATTTGAGATATTTTTTTACTTCATGCCTAAATTTATATATTATGAAATATATGCTAAGTTTTTGTTTAAAAAAACGTTTTTAAAAAAAAAATTCATGGTTGAAATTTTATAATATTATGGCCAATGGTGTTTATAGATATAATGCAACATGCTTTTTTAGTATTTGCATTAAACCAGACAGGGTCGAGGATTTAGGTCGTTCTTCACTTTCAGACTTTACTATTGCTGTACTGTGCATAAGATTGTAACATACCAGTAAATACCACTCCATTCACAGAAAAGTTGATGGAACCAGTTTCTTCCATAAGTAAATTTTTATTCAAGTTCTTTATTCCTTTTTCTTGTTCATCTTCCAAAGATACACAATCTTTAGTCTCTACCTGTCCCATGACTGCACCGACAGAGCTAGTCGCCGGATGCTGAAAAAATGGTCCATTGTGAAGTCTGTGCAAAGTATTTATATAGACCTAAGCTAAATCAAACACAGAATATAGGCTATTATCAAAAGTAGACTTTCGGACGCACTGATTTGTTTGCACATCATGTACAATACAACAATCGTGACCTGAGTTACGGATCTAGACTACAACGGTACGGTATAATGCCAGAAAGCGGCAAATGGCAATCCCAATGTCCGAGTGTGGAATAGGGATGTTTCCATACTAAAGGGGAATACCCAAATAAGAAGGGAGTTTCCAGTAATCATTTTATCTTCCGAGGAGCTCTAAAATTGAAAACATTTCACTGGGCGCCTAAGTATAAATACTGTAATGTCTAGATACTATTTTCCCTATAAGCAAGAAAACCACTACAGTAATGTCAATCATATCACATATGTCAATTTTATTCATATCTTAAGAAAAGAAAACAAAATTTATATGGGGAATTTTAGAATGTATTCGGAATAATCCAGTAGTTGTTTATGGTCATTCCTGATTCCACCGTTTTTTATTATTGTGTATAATGCGAGACTTAATTTAGCGTATCAGTATACTAGGATCACATCAATTTTGAACAATTCAGAGCAAAAAAATTATTAAAATCCATAAATTTTATTGCCCTGAGAAATGTCCATTTGGTAACAACCTAAATCCAATGCCCAGACATCAAAACTAGCTTATGATTGTTTGAACTTTTGCCAAATTACTTAGATCTATTATATAGTGAATGTTTTTAAATTAAATTTTACGTCACTTTGCTATACCTTTTTTGGTTTATTTATCTTCGATAGGAATATTAAGTGCTTCGTATGGTAATTATATACCGCGTTTTGATATATATTTAGTCATCAGGATATGTGAATCCTGAAAATAATACCTTGAAGGGGGAAGTTGACTTTGATGACCGTCTGGTCGTATCACTCCCTCCTGTCTATACCAAACTAATTACTTATCGATCTTGATCGGTAAGTATGTTGATAGGTATTTGTCTGTATGTCTGTGTGTTAGATGCACGCGATATCTCACAAAAGTGAGATTGGATCTGCTGCAGATTTAGCATGTGCATTCATCATAGCTCGGATCAGAAGCCTATTGATTTTGGATGGATTTTGTCGTATAATTAGCAAGTTATTAATTAATTAGTGATGGGACACACGGTGTCACTATGGAGTAAGACCTCTGTTTTGGGGATCCCCTAACCTTCGATCGATAAGTCTTCGGTTTCCAACCGAATTCTAGTTTATTACTTGTTATTATTTTTAGCGGCGCGTTTTTTCACATAATGTATATACTGTATAAAAATTCGTCAAAATCAAACATGTTTATATTCTGTAAACCAACGGTTATGTTAAGCATTAAAATCACTAGACTTCTAAATATAATCCATCTAACATTCTGATATGCAGCCAAATAATTTATAACAGTCCCGATACCCATTTACATTGTATTATATACCGAAGTGTTCTATAAATAAATAAAAAGAGAATTTCTGTTCTCTTCTGTCCAAATGGTGTAATCCCCAGACTTTGTGTTCTTTTCAAGCTTTTATAAAAAAAATGGCATTCTTGCTTGTTACTGTAACTTCTTGTTGTACCATAATAGTTCGTTGCAGATGTGATTATTGGCATTAGATGTTAATTACCTATATATATATGTACCAGGTAGAAAGTGTTATAAAATGAAGATATTTTATGAAGCCAGAGTTGTACCATAAATTTCCTTTTAGTGTAGATTTATGTCTCGTAAATAATAAAGTTCAATGGTCTTCCAATTTCTCTCCTTCGACCCATCAATGACGTGATACAACCATTTCAGCATTGAGAAATAATTATACTGTCAACGTCTACCATATCAATTCCGCCTTTCATTTTTGGACGGACAATCAGTGTTTTACGTTCAACTCATTCTCGATTTGAGTTCCACAGGAAACGAAATATTAAAGAGTTCAGTGATTTTACGAATTTTTTGGTATAGTTAGAAGAAACCGGTGAAAATATAAATTGATGATAAGTACAAAGTTACACAAACTTTTCCTAGAATTTTCAGATTTCTCATACGCCAAATTTGGATAATGTTTTGTAGTTGATGCAACTTAGACGGTAAGTTAAGTTCATATATTTGGTTCAAGCCAGCTGTAATTGTAATTCCCAATAATTTAGACTTACAAGTCCAGTTGAGATCACAGCACCAAGTACCCTACGAAGCACGTGAATATGTTCCCCTCTTGTATAGTAGTATTGTTAGGTTGAATTAAGGCCGATTCTATTATCAGTTTTCATCACTAGATTGTAGTGTTTTTTGCATAAATTAGTGACTTGGTGGATCGCACGCGGTTCAGTGGTTCGTCATTACTTGAAAACCCCCGTGCACATTTGCAAACCCAACACCTTCAAACTAAACAGTCATAATCTACCCTTACTATAGGTTTGGTTCTCTTCGAATGAATCAACCAACCCCCACATGCCTGACCTAGCGTTTCGAATCCATCACCATTTGCCACAACAAAACAGAGCCAGAGCACGGATTCGGATGTTTTTAATATCGGAATGAAAGCAAGAAAGGGAACGAAAGTCGAAGACGATTGGAGATTGCCATCGTTAAAAAAATCTTTTTAAGTTTTTTGCCTTGCATGTAAGCATAGAACTGATTGTGACATTACAAGTGCCGGACCACATGAACGACGAACAATTCCGATGAGCTTGTAGCGCAGAACCGCAAGGTACAAGCCTGTCTCAGCTCACTCCACTATAATTTGACCCCGTCAATTAATGCACGCTTTCAATTGCAATACAAAGCAAATCCGCACCCGACGCTTATTTCGCGTTTTCAAGCGTGTCCTGAAAATTCGCCGGAAGAGCATTTTGCTGTAAAACAAGTATTTGTGATAAAAACAGGTTTATAGGGTTAGGGTATGCTCTTAAAGAAGGAATCCTTTTTAAACAAAGAGATACTTCAAAAACCTAAATGTATATATCACAAATACTTGTTTTACAGCAAAAAGCTCTTGCAGCGATTTTTCCTATGCGGCGAAATTTTTGCCGCGAATTTTTCTAGAACCGTTTTCAAGTACCGCGGGCGGCGGTTCTTTTTACCGCTACGATGTTGATCTTTTTGGCTGAAAGTGGGTCTTGCTTGACACGGAAACTTCAGAATGAAACGAAAGGCATACAAATTAACCATTTATTAGGTTAATTAAATATAAACAATCTTTTTTGAGAATACTATATTACACCATTAAAAAATTTCAATCACCAAAACAACATATTTTGCAATACTAAAATTCATTGAAGTCGATAATAACTCAAGTCATGAGTAACCTGAGATGAAAAAATATTCAAATATTAAAATTAGATCCAGAAAAATCTCATTTGCCACAAAATACCTTATGGACTTATTGAAAATAACTGTCAAGTATTACTTACAGCTTTCTGGTAAAAATCAGGCAATTGATATTCAAATATTTCACAGAACTTTTAACATAAACCAAGAAGTTCTACACAACTATTTGTAATGATTCTATAAAATCCGATTTCGATGATTTGACATTTTTTATCAATGATAACACTAAGTTTGGCAACGAAAAGCATGAATACATTTTTTACTTAGCTGTAGAGATGGGAAATACTTGAACATGTATAAAATCTTATAGAGTTTACAATCATTTCCAAACTTATTAAAAAAATTTGAGATGAATGGGAAAGTGTAAAACTTAACGAGGTTATGAACAACCCTTGGAATGAGCTGACTTTGGTCTTAAATTTCATACTATATCCATAAGTCATTTATGGTCTAATTTCGACACTCCAGAAGTGTGTGTAACAATATGGAAGTAACTAACTTTACATCAAGTTTAGCAAAGGGACTGAAACCTATGGGTAGGGGGTATATCAAGTTTAGCAAAGGGACTGAAACCTATGGGTAGGGGGTATATTTACTTGGCTAACACAGACAGTCCTCGAACTTGTAACAGAACTAAAATAAGAAAAATCGGAATAAAATTATGGCCTAAGCCTAACCTGGTACACATACTACGGGAGTACCGTGGTCAATTTACAGAATGGTAGAATAGCCTTGTTATTAGGGTTAAATAGTAGAGTCATTTCAAGTTGAACTTCAAAAATAATCCCAAATTCCCGAAGTTACGGTACTAACCATCATAATTCTTCTTCATTAGTTGAAGATGTATTGGTATCTGATATCACATGTGATCAAAATAAAATTGACAAGATGATGGAAAATAAAAGAATCATCACACTCGTAAAAATAAAAGCAAATAGAAAAATTTTCTGGTTAAATATGTCGAAGCACAGAATTATTTGAAATAGAACAGTGCGTTGTAGATCTGATAAACGACAGTTTAAAATAAATTTTGAAATTATCAGAGGACTCACAAATTCATTATGACACATTGATCAATGAACAATCAAATAACGAGAATGATGTAATCTGCAAACAACTCCTGTTAAGCCCTCATTGTTTCGTCCAAGTTTAAATCAACCTAACCTTAATATTATGTAAAACGTTCAATCTTTCATGGTAGTAAAATGGAAATAAACAATAGTGCAAGTGAAAACAGTTTGGTCGATTATAGACGGCTGGTTGAAACTAAGAAAATGTAAGCTTTGACCACTGTTGCTAACTTTTAGATCGAACAATATTTTGCTAGATTAGATTTTAAAATACGACCAATTTTCAGTTTTCAATAACGCAATTACTTTTGATTTCCAGGCATCTCATTCCAGCCTAGTCAAGTTTTCGATTTTCAAAAATTACTGATTATGCTGAAAGAAAATAATGTTCAAAATTTCAAGACAGACAATATTGACATTAACTGAATACAGATTGACGTTTCATTTTGGAAACTCACAGTATGTTTCAATTGATCAAAAAACCTATCCAACTGTAAAGGCATGTTAAACATCATCATAAAAACATTTCTTTTTAGTCTTGATGCTCTGACTACAGGTTAAAACTATTTTGACAAATGCTAACATTTGAATGATTCAAATAGAAAAACTCTATTTCACTTATTTCAACTTTTATTACATCAGGCACAAACTGCATAGTATATTATCCGATTGACTGCGCCCTAGGACTTTTCTCAATAAACACCCAACTACATGCATAATGAATTGCGAATCAAAACTATCTGCATAAGTATCACGTCATTGTTGTCTGTTCTGGTTTGTTTTCTGGATTTGAATTTGTGTCATCTTCTAAAAGTTGAACAGTTCTTAAGGCATCAGATGGCAACATCTCGAGAGTTGCTACTGCACCATCATTGAATGTGAAGGAAACTTCCCCATCAATACATAAGGCAGCATCCCAACATCGTGACCTGATTAATTGAAATCGTTTAAAAGAAAATTAAACAATAGCAAAACTGTTTCATGCAACATAAAACTAGTCTAAGAAAATTGATGTATGAAAGTAACAAAAACTAAAATTAAAGGTATTCAAATACTGAGCTGAAACTCGTCAAACAGTTTGTGAACTAGTGAGATTGCCAAATTTGCCATTTTTTGTTTTTTTTTCAAACACGCTTGGTGTCAGAATTTCCGTTTGGCTTTTTTGCGTTTTTTTGGCTTATCTAAGTCTAATCTAGTGTCCATTATTAAAATCATATGAAGAAATACAATATTTAGTGTGTAATAATAACCTATTGCTTAGCTACTTAACATTTAGATTACCCCAAGCATCAATTACCTTGTTTATTACCTCAAAGCTTAACCATAAACAATAAGAAATAATAAGTTTCTGCAGCCGCTCAGACACATGTTCAAGCAGGGTTGTACACATTGCCTCGTTTTTATAGTTTTGTGTGTTATTTGTCAGTTTTTAGTTCTGTTTCCAAAAAATAATTGTATAATCTAATTTTCATTATGCCTTATGTGGAGCTTTAGTTCAGTTGCGTCAATTAAAATTTAGTCTCACAAACGATGTGATTGACTACGCTAAAATTAGCTATAAGCGACTCGTGGTTAGATAATTTTTTATAAAAATGATGGTTTCAAAATTCGAAAAATAAAAAAATTTTCAATAAGAAAGTACGATCTGGCGGTATACAGAGTATTTTTTAGGGTATATCACAATTCACAAGTTCTGAAGTTTAGGTAAAAACATGTAGATATATCACATACTAAAGCCTATTGTATATATTGCCATGATAGCAACCGAAAATACAACTTTTAATGGGAAAAGACATTTGTGTTCACTAAATGAACTGATGGCTCTACGTCAGCATATTAAAAACTGTGCAAATCCACTATTGTGCCAAAGGCTTCAAATCTGACAAATCATGGGGCTTTTGTACTTATTAGAATTGTTGGCTTTTTTATATCTTGATTTGGCTTTTTTTGATCGCTGGGATCTGGCAACCCTGAGACTGATAACCAGATGAGTGTCTATCGTCAACCATTATGATACAGATATCTAAACAGTTTTTCTCTCACCTAAAACAAAGCCGGGAAAATCCTACGAGTTACAAAAGAAGATTTATTTATTTTTTGCCCAGAAAATATACTCGTTTCTAAATAATAAAAAAGCTATTCTGTGTATCGATCCCAACATTTTTTTTTGTATTTTATAATATTTTTGATGTCACATGTAACCTGATCTAGTGTTTACAAATTTACAGTAAGGAAGTATAATTTATATTCCAATGAATAGACATTAGTTATTTTTTGTCAATCCATAATTTAGTGACACCATTTCCTGTTTAAAATGAATCTATCGACACCAAAAATAATGTTAATATTGCAGACTTCAGAATATTAATATAATTTTTGGAGGTATGAAATTATGAATGATGAAATTTTGGTGCTCCCGAAGTATGTGAAGCAAGATAGTGGACACCGGAACGTAGTATGTGTACCAGGTTAGGGTCAGGCCATAATTTTAGGTACAAATACTACGGGAGTCACTTGGCTAGTCCTCGAACTTGTAAGAGAATTGTAGCATATTGTATATCTTTATTGAGTGGATTAAAAGTTCTGGCATCATACTTTCACAGATTCTATTCTGTAACATTTGGCCTTGCTAGACTTCTTCAGACAGATATCACATTCATTTGGTATATATGTAGTGAAATAACAAAGTGTAATGTAAAGTTGTTTAAAACTTGAACAATTAATCTTGATTAAGTCAATTTTTATGATCGAATAACGATGTGAAAATAGGATTTTATAGTTCCACTGCAAATAAAACAATCTTTATGGTTGAGTTCCTAAATGCAAAGTGAGTTCTCTACACAGTCCTATCAATCAAATTATTTTGTTATTGTGTTTAATTACCTTATAATTAATTTCTTAGCAAATCCATTGCATTGCCTGCACGTAAAAACACGATTTTGCATTGGATCACGAACAGAAAAAAGCATATCGTCCGAATCAGGTTCGTAGATATATGACTGGCTATACGAGTGAGTCACTGGTGAAAAATAAAAGATATGTCATTAAAACTCTAAATGTTGAAATGTAATATTGCGGTAATACACAAAAAATTTACTAATTATGATTTACAGTTAATTTAGTTAAATATAAATAATTAATCACCTTGTTCAATTAACTTGTTACTCAGTTCCGGTATCTTACAGTTTTTTGAGCCGTTGTCATCAGCTGTCATGAAAAAGATATCTATGTGTAATATTGCATGATGAATTATCATTATAACTTCATAGTTTGCATATCAGAATGAATAGAAAACCGTTTCGCATTTATTTTGAATTTGTACATTTAAAAAATTAAACTATTTGATTCAAAAGTCTTGCTGCACACTAACACAATTGTTTTTCTGTAACTTTTCGTCTGACTGGGGTGAGACTCCTTCAGACAAGCAAATTTCAAGTACACACATACGAATCCACTTCCACAAAGGCATAAAGCAAGAAAAGGTAGTTAGTCTTGCGTAACCCCAACTGATAAAAAATTAGAGAAATGAATTTGTGTATAATGGTAATGATATGAAAAGATATTTTTATGAGCGCCTTTGCAAGAAATGGGACAAGTTTGTCACATGTTTCTATCAGGGGCGTAGCCAGAAATTTTCAAAGGGGGGGGGGTTCTGTTTTCATGAGTCTTAGGGGTCTGAAAAGCGTTTCAAGCTACGAAAAATTGCTATGTATGATACATAAAGATGCTTTTATTTTTTTTCTAATTTCAAAAGGGGGGAGGTCCGCCCCCCAAAACCACACCCTGGCTACGCCCCTGGTTTCTATTTCAAGTTGTTCAAATGATGATCATTATTTCCTTTGATAATCGACAAACATACCCGAGTGAGGTAATCCATTGAAAGAAACATTTTGTGCAGCCAGTTCAAGTACTCGTTTGATTGCACTTTCTGGCAGCCTACATATATTATATGACCAAGCTGTGCTGCCTGTACCAGTACAAACACATAAACCAGAACTTTTCTGTTGTTCTGATGAATGATCATCAATTTTCAATTCATAATATGAAGGCCTGTAAACAAAAACACATCAATTTGAAAATGAAGTGAATGCCTATGGGGTATGCCAGTGCTTTTTGACATTTTATTTTATCCTTCGTATAACCCCTGACATGCTATTGGGCTCATCACAGAACCCCCTATTAAATTAATCAAAAATAGCCATAAATGTATGAAGTCAAATATTTATAGCATTAGGCCCTACAACAACAATAAAAAGTTATTAATGGAGATATGGAAAGAAATTCAATGTCCCTTCTGCTATTGCATATCATTCACAAAACTTTTAAATTATGTCTCCATGTTGCAAAAGGAAAAATTTGCGCATATCTACACTACTCAGTGATTTCTATATTCTATTAATCAAGATAAAATGGAAAGAAATTCATTATCCCTTCTGCTATTGCATTTCTCTCACAAAACTTTTAAATTATGTCTCCATGTTGCAAAAGGAAAAATTTATGCATATCTACACTACTCGGTGATTTCTATATTTATTCTTAATAGTGACAATTACTCTCACACAAAATTTGACACAATCCACTCAAAGAGAGATTTTCATCAAATCGTAGAGAAATTTCAAAACTCATGGAACAGTATTAAGTGCTTTGCAGAACCACGGTCAAGGCAGCAGAGGTCAAAGATCAATTACTATAAGTTGTTCAATGATTTAATAAGGATAAACTTACACTGCAGCGAGTGATTCACCGATAAAAACTTCGTTAAGAGCAAGAACTGGTAGAACTTGCGATCTTATTCCAGATGTATTATATGATTGTTGAGGTACTGAAATAACATGTGTCGATTGAATAATGTTTACACAAAACACACACATTTATACAATTATCTAGAAAATAATGTTAACAATTTCGTGGGAACAGACTCCGGAGTTTCCGAAGTCTATGTACATATACTTAACGGCATATCACTCATGATTAGAAATTAACAGATTCGATGATCTAATCGTACTTATCTTTATTTACTCAACTATCGAAGTATATCATAGTGAATACAAGTAAAAAACTAGTGATGCCAACTGCCAAGCACATGTATATTTTATTTGGTGCTTGGTAAAGGAACTGAAACTTATGGGCAGGGGATATATTCACTTGGCTAACACATACAATCCCCGAACTCGTAATAGAACCAAAATAAGAAGAATCGAAATTTTCAGAATAAAATTATGGCCTAACCCTAACCTGGTACGTATACTACGGGTACGGGAGGAGTAGCAAAAAAATATTCAGTTCAAGCATCCATGTAATGCCTGTGATTACAATAACCTTTCAATAGACAGTTAATATATATTTGATAAAATGATAATTGCTGAATAGTTCTACCTTCTGTTATAATATCATGTCGATGAACATACTCGGGTTCGTCTAATGAAGAAAGTGCGGTGTTACTCATTCGTGAACGTAACATATCTCCATTGTGAATTGGTCGAAAATTATCAGATATTCCTGTCATAGTTATTCTTATTCTTCTTCTCCATAACCATCTGTCAAAAGGTAAATATAATATTACTTTAGATTGATAATGCAATTCTACAAACTTATATTCAGTTTGAACGCCTCAAAAGGCGTATGTGCCGACTCAGCGATGTGGCGCATCGTGCCAAGTGTTAGGAATACGTTCGCCACCTTCTTAGCCTGCATGCGTTCGCAGGTTCAAATACCAAGCGGGGATAATTAAATTAATTATATGCGATATTCTATCCTATATTCATTATATAAAAAATCAACCCTACTCAAAAAATGGCTAATATGTTGAATTGTTGAGATTTCTAATATATAATGCACATACACTTCAACAATTATTGCATATCAAGTAGTACAGGGGTCGGCAACCTACGGCCCGCGGGCCGGATCCGGCCCGTGAAGTAATATAATCCGGCCCGCGACGCTTCGCTGGATTATAGTAACAAAACAGCTGTTTGGACGATTATATTCTTTAGACTAGATTGTATTATAACCTAAAAAGTATATGATTCACAATTACTCGTTTATTGAGCATATAATTTGATTATAATTACACAAATGGCAACAAAACGCAGACAAGTTGATGCTAAGTTCGAAGGGTTCAATGGCGCTGAAAATATTCAAATGGAATTTTACGAGATGCAATGAGGAAATAAATCTATATTCTATTCGAGAAATGTATCACTGCTTGATTTTTATTGTGAAAAGTATCATCCGTTCGGTTTTCAACTTTCTAAAAATATGTGCGGCCCGCCAATGACTTGCAATCCTCAATTTTGGCCCGCGAGCGACAAAAGGTTGCCGACCCCTGAAGTAGTACCGGTACATCATTTAATCAGGCTAAACAGATATTACAAATATTATTTACAGTATAGTATGCTCTTTAGTAAATAATTAAACTTGACTATTCAAATTCTGTCTGGTATATTAAAAGTTGAGAGAAAAATTTCGGAAACCTGAACTGTCCAGCTGCAAGTTTATCCAATGCTTTTCCCAAGTTAGTTGAATACTTGGTAGGTAAACAAAGATGACCTTCTGATCTGAAAATAGAAAAATATGTTTACTTGTGATACCACAAGATATTGATAATATTGCAATATGATTTATATTAATAACGAGACGAGAATTTTGGAAATCATTAATGTTCTATCAATTGAATGACAATCTGATTTAATTACAGACAATATACCTGTTTGGATTTGTATTGATGCCAATTACGGGTTTACTTTGATCATGAATTTTACTTGCCGCTGATAAAAACGTGCCATCTCCACCTGCAGTTATAATCGCATCTGCCCAGTTGATCAGATCCTTGAAAATGATAATATTTGCCTTATTTAACAGAGAATCAACCCACAATATATGCTGAATAAGGTTGGCGACTCAGAAATATTAAACTGAGCTAATTTAGAGAATATTCTCTAATCGTTACAGAGATACCCAAAATAAATACCATATTCCCACAATTATCAAATATTATACACCAAAATTTCAACTTTAGGGGGTGAATATAAATATATTGGCTTAGAAAAATAACGTAATAAATGTAAATTTACAATAAATTTTAGATGAAATTGAAGACAATTTTTAGAATACTACACAAGTGAGCATGTAGTTAAATAACTCACTACAGTATATGACTTTCCTCTTGTGCAAACTTTATATTCAATTCCACGCTCAGAAAGAACATCCTTTATGGATGACAATGTTTGAATATGTTTTAGATGTTGAGCATACAATGAATCATAATCGGATCCACGAGATTCAACCTATAAAATTGAAAAAGAAAATCATATAGAAATAAAACGCAAAATAAATTATAACAAAATAAACCGAATACTACACTTATCGATTCTAATAAAATATTTTCGAATATGGATCATCGAATACATTCTAAATCTGCTTGTCTGACAGCACAAAATCCCAATTTTTTGAATAAAACTGTTTGGAATTATTCCTAAATTCAAAAATTGACTATCTATTCCATACAATATATAATGTAATTTGAATGAATTCGATTCGTTTTAGACATCCCTGGCTCAACCAATTTATATTCAAATATATTCAATATTTAATAATTCAATTTCTTGATTTCATGAATATTTAAAAAAATATAATTTTAATTCAAGTAGAAAATTGGCGTCAGACACACATGAACCATGAAGCCTCATGCAGCGAATTCTCTAAAAACAAAAAAATGTGTCCCAATATTCTTTTACACTTTGCTAGTAGTCATCGGTTTTTACTATTGCTTAATGACAATATTGAAATCCCAGGTTTCATTAAATATTTTCATGGAATAAGTGTACATAATGGTGGAAAACAAGAAACTCACAGCTTGTCTGAACTCATCTTCAGTACATCCATTGAATCTGTGTTTCTCAAATTCATATCTCGTCATCTTGCCAACGATAACAACCTGCTTTAAGTTAAGCACAGGGTTTTCATCTTCTAAGCCGAGACAGCTCGTAGATGTTCCATTAACATGATTCAAGTGTGTCGTTTCTTTCCAATCATTCCCATGGACAAATGCAGCGTTAGACATTGTTCTTGTATAGATGGAAGACACGAATCTACTGAACTGGTTCAGTGGTTCGAAGGGCACTTTAGTGCCTGATGATGGTAGCAATAATCCAAAGAAACGAGGTGTCCGAAGAACAGTAAATCTCGTCACAATTCTATGAAGAAGATTTGATTGCAAGTTGACAGCAAGATATAACTTTGGGGAACAATGACCAATAGTTTGCATCATCACAGTAGCATGCTAAAAAATTAAGCATGCAATAAAAAACATTCCAACTTATTCATTATATGAAATCTGATCTGATGCCCACCTCTTGCCAAACGTCTTATATTGTATATAAACGGACAAATTATACAACAGAAACAAAATGCCCTTTGAAATAAGAAGATGTAATTATCAACCTAAATGTTGAAAACCAAGAAATATTTTACACTTTCTGACCTTTGGGTGAGCGAACACGTACTACTTCTTTTATCAATACCTTTCCATCTAAAATCTGTACGTTTCAAACCTTGCTCTAGGTTTTGTTCGCTTTCCCGATTCTATAATCAGTTACCATACTTTTACTTTTGTTTTTTTCGTCTATTGCTGATTATGGAGTCAAAATAAACTTATAGCTAGCTAGAGCTAGTCAGAGGAGTTGAACAATGAAAATAAATGCAAAATAAAAAATACAAAAAATTTTGATGAAAAGAGTGAAAATACTCTATAACACAGGGCTCTTTATTGCAGTATTGGCAGATGACACATTTTCGGGGAGCACCAGCAGACCAGCGTCTGGGCGTATTCAGGCAGTTCTCATGGTCTTATGGCATAAGTTACCGGTATGCCATCTCTTGGTTCGAAACGTTACCTAGTAAGTCAGTGGGCCCAAAAGTTTGAAGTCTGTAACAACGGGAATACCCCCAATTTCGTAGTCTACCGGTACGCGAAGTAGCGTGCCGTACCGTCGGCGTCAGACCGTATTTTCTAGAACCTAGGCCTAGCTGCCTTAAATCACTGCGGTCTTGCTGTGCTACTGTGAGAATACAGTAGTACCGTAATCTGGTATACTCTGTCTGTACCGTAACTGCGTTTACATTGTTGTTGCTCTTTTCAAAATTCAAAACTTCACTTCCAATAATCTGACGCCAGGTTTACGACAGCCTGATTTGAATACTGCGATTTCCACTGTTTGCTGAATTAATATGCAGCAATAGACCAATAGAAAATATTGGTATACAAATTGCAAATGCGACCGACCGTCACATGTCTTGATTTTAGCACGTTGTCTCGGCCGGTTGACCCAAATGTTCCGTTTTGCAGTATAACAGACATAAATATTTTTCATATTTATATAATTTTTTTTTTAACAGAGGCAGCCTATTTACCGCTGATTTGCAACTCACTTTACTAGTTCAGAAGAGAGGGAGACCCAGCAAAAGATATTTTGATAAGATTTACAGCTAATTTTGATGCCCGTAATCTACCCAAGTTTATACTATGTTTCCCCGAGCATCGATTTACTTGTTTATTTCGGTAACAATTACAAATCAAAAAGTTAACAAGAACGTAACAATTGGAACTTATGCCGCCGGTCAGACAATTCTTTTGCTCAGGCAAATATTCAAGCGGGGTTATAAACATTGCCTTTTTTGGTATTTCTGCGTGTCATTCGGAAATTTTAAGTTGTGTTTCCAGAAGATAGTTGTAAATCAAATAATTTAATTGTCATTATGTCGTCCGGGGATCTTTAGTTTAGTTGCAATAATCTGAAATTGATACCGCAAACTCTGCGATAGACTGGCCTAAAATTAGCTATCATTACCTATAAACGGCTCGTGGTTTTGAATGAAAATGATAGTTTTGAACACGTGAGCCAGTTTGTAAGTGCCAAATTCAGCTCCCAAATCACTCGCAAAATCAGCGTTAAAAATGTTGCAATGATAAAGTGATGGGAGAATCTTTTAGGGGTCAAGGATCGGGAAAACAAACGTCCATTCAGAGACAATGCTAAGCCTGGGAATAAGGTTGACTTGTCCAATCCGCACTGTCCCGGATCTTTGCTCAAGGTATATGGTAAGCTTAAGTAACAGTACGGAGAAGCAAATGGCGGCTTATTTTCATCACTACATTTTTATAACAATTAGCATACAAGTGTAAGGTCACGGGAGATGTCTACCATAAGCGGCGCATCGTATTCGTGTTGAGCAGTGGGAATCTGACCTCTGATAACCCTGCGTGGTTTTCCAGGTTCGAATCCCGGGGTGATGATTATATGGCCGTATGGTCGGTTACCGTACGGCTTTCTTCGTCATCTAGTTGAGACAAATAACTGCTATAACTAATCCATCGGCTCGGCGGTGTGACGCATCGTACTAAGCGTTACGTACGCCACCTCACCTCTGATTACTCTGCGTGTGTTCGAATCCACTGCGTGGACAGTTATGTGGGAGAAGATTGCGTGACTTTTCGCTGCCGTAGAGGGTTCACGTAACCGCTGGTCGTCCACCATCAAGACCACGATCCCGAAAACTGACATCCCAGGTTTTGCTTGAGGTTAAACGAGGTAATGGACGGCATTTGGTGGCAACGCGAAACAATGAAGCCTTATGGGAATTTGCGCCGTGATGTTGTACCGGATCGAAATGAGGAGTAAAAAAACTTTTTATTTTCATATTTGCCGCAAACACAACGTTGCACCATTTTCAATCACTTTTAAAAAGACTTTATACAGTAATCGTACAATGTCATCTGGTCACCAAGAACAGTTTGGAGCGGTTGGGCATTTTGAAGCTTTACAGTCGAAATGTCAACTTGAAAATATATAGGCTCTTCGAAGTTGAGTCGGCCGATAATTTCATCCGGTAGAGATCGCTTCCCATATACAGTATATCGAAGATTAACAAAGTAAAACCGGTCTTAGCAACACGATGTAAATTGCCTACGTTTCGAATTACTATTCAGAAAAACTTCATCAGGGCTTCAAGTTATGAAGTCGCAAAATTTATTGGTGTCATAACTGGTCTTTCGCTGTTGTAAAATGTACTATGATGTTATACATCAAGTTTCAAATTGCGCAATTTAAAAACTTTCAGTTCAGTTAAAACATGATATATATTGACACGTACATCAATTAACTAAATAGAATGAATAGTAATGTGAGTTTAAAATCGGTAAATATTTTAAAATCATGAAATCCTTTTTTTGAAAAAAAATAGGAAAAATTCTTTCATTCGACCACTTTTAAACGGTATACGGTAAAAATTCGTGACAAGGATTATTAACCCTCAACATTTAACAAATATCAGTTTTGTAAAAGTTTGAGTCAGATTCAGTTTTTTCTTTTCCTCGTGCAAGAATCAATGTAAAACACAATAAACAAACCGATTTTCATCTGAAACAAGCTTTCCACAACTTGAAAATGAACGCTAGTTTAAAATTTAATGTTGAGGCACCTTTGCTTAAGATTACCTGGCCTAATGATAACTGCAACCCTGTAGATTACACACCATGATAGCTGTTTCTATGCCCGGCACCAACTAGTAAATGGGTGCTGCCCTTTATTATAAAAGCATCCTGTCAAATTTTCTCTGGTCGGTACTAATATTTATGATTCCTATTATAAAATTTCATTGTAAGTTCAACTCGCTGCTTTGCGGCTAACTAATTTTCTATTACACTTCTTTACAGTAATAAACAACGAAATCGAAGAGTGCGGATTGATTTAAAATCTTATTTTGGAGAATGGATTGAAGAATGATTTGCCCTGGAGGCATATTTTTATACTCGAGCTTCTATTCGCATGTAGGGATATATAGTTGTTACGTTATTCCAACAGTATTCTACAAAAGGGACCAGATGTGGGCAGCGTAAGTTCTATACTCGGTAAATACTAAATATTAGTCAATCTAATAGCCACATGTCAACGTTAACCGTAATTGTTACTACTTACAAATAGACGACCCAGATATTAAAGTGACCTTCAAGTTTACTTAAATCACAAAACGCAAATTGCATTTTGTATCGTTGTTATCTATTATATATATATTGGTTATATTTCTAATATTTAAAAACGGAACGATAATTCGAAAATCATGTAGAACGGGTGAGACATATAACATATATATATATATATATATATGTAATACGGTAGTTAAGTAGACATACCGTGCTAAAAAAGCGACAGTTATGTAGACGGAAAAATTGGGTAGACATTTTCCTGTCCGCTTAATTATTCCACGTTCTATAATTAAAACGTTTTGCGATATTTTGCTGAAATCTCTTTTTCTCTGATAAAACAGTATCAAAAATAATATGTTCTTTCAATAGTTTTTAAATAATTGCACATTTTCGCCAACTTTAATGGGACAGTAGTTCTGCTGGTTTATAATCAACGGGTTTAATTTTCGTACATAAAGTGGACATTTAATTTATGCAAAAATCTTTAATTTTTCCGTGTATGTTTTTACGATTTTTGGAGAGTAGGTTTGATAATTTTGATACAATAACCAGGCAGAACATGAAGATGGTCCGTTCTGTTTTTTGGACCTCAATTCACAACTCCGTACTAAAGAGGCTTTGTGTCGCAATAGTAAAACTGTCGGTTTCGCCGAGAACTTTACCACGTTTGCCGTTTTATTCGCAAGTAACCTGGGCGCCGTGAGGGGATTGGGGTCTTCATGAGTGCGTGATTGCCGAAATTTAGATAAAATAGAACAGTTGTGTTCGGAGAAGCGATCCAAGTCTTTTGTGTCAGGTGTTATCAGTTACCCAGTGAGTTGAAGTCGAGTCATAATAAGCAAGGATTTCAACGTCACCGAGGAATGCTGCTGGAAATCATCACTCATCGGATAAGGTGATTAGTCATAACGATTTTTAATAATAGGGTTACCATATTTTTGGTGTTGAGATTTTTCACGTAATCCAGATTATCAAAATATAGACTACTGATACTGTTATGCTTTTACTGGTCGTAGTTCTGATCTGACCATCAAAATAATGCTACGACTGGGTTTGCGTTTGTAAGAGTGTGTAATTCAGAAGGATTTCTAAATCCAGATGAAAATACAAACGAAGATTGTGGAAATTCAATGAATTCAATTTTTTGTCGAAACAGAAGGATATACGAGAAGCGAGTAGTTGACGTTTGTATAGCTTGGTGTAAATAAAAATATCTAATACACCGCTTCATATTAGATAAGAATATTTCATCTTCGGAAAACAGTTTTGAAGAATTGCATTGCTAGCAATTTTGTTTTGTGATTTGGCACATGTCCCTGTGTTATTTTACCATCATCATCTAGTTATTCACCGGGCTGTATTTTTTGTTCACATGTAGGTGACTCTCCAACGAGATGGCCTGCGTTTCAGAACTTGGCAGACGGAAATGCGGGTAGTGATTCGGAGAAAGCTGTGCCAGGAGGTGACTAAATGAGTTTGCTATGCTAGTTTTTTTTATTAAATACGGTATCGTAAATTGATACCAATGAATGGTAATAAACCAAATCATAATATCATTTGTAGCCCATCACAAATAGCGCAGCTATCTACGAATAATTGTAGTGCAACGTTTAGAAACTCTGGTTTATTTGAGTAATAATGCAATTATCCATTTCAAATATTTCGTTTGTTCGATCAATCAAGAGTAGCGTAATTCTGAATTGGACTAAAACACTGTGATGATGTTTTGTGACTTATGCATGTATTTTTGACCAAAGTTTCAGATAAGTCAACAGACTATCCATCGCACCATCTTCAGAATCACTTTCAATGAGCAATTTGAGTAATTTCAAAGAAAACCATATATATGGAAAAGAAAAAGGCTGTAAATCAATTAAAAAAAAAAAAAGCTTTTAAACAAACGCGAACCAGAAAAGAAACGACGAAAAGAAAAATAATTGCACGGATTGGTATATCTTGCGAGAAGTTTATTGTAAAGCTTTAAGACATCTCTGTATAATTCATAAATATGAACCGGCAGTGAGCATAATCTTGTCTCTCCTCAACAACTTAACCTAGTGAGCATATACACATTCGTATACATACTTGGCATACATTTTTACTATTTAATTATAAATTCAAAATAACAATTATGTTTTTGTTTTCCGAGTTGGTGCAAAAATTTTAAATAAATTGTGCAAAGATTCTAAATTGATATTGAGGTTCAATAATTTCATTTTGATCGCTTGTATAGTTGACTGTATAATCAATCACTGCTATAATTAGGCGCCCTGAGACATTTGAGTTATATTTGGTGTAATGTTTCTCATTTTAGTTGACATGGCAAAATTTCGTTTCGCATTTATAGGCCCCACTGAAAACGTCACTTTATTGAACATTTGAGATATGTTGTGTATAATGTTCCTCGATATTTTATTCAGAATTTCGTGTTTTAATTATATACCTTCTGAAATGGTCGAATGGTTGAAATTTTTTTTGAATGCTCCTCAATATTATTGCCGTTCAAAAATATCATTTTGCATTTACATGACACACTTACGTAGCTGAGTAGATGACGATTTGCGATTAATTTTCTGTTTTGTTTTTCAATACGGTTTCAAAATTTTGTTTTATAATATTTGTCACTCTCAAGTTATCGGATAGGTGAACATTAGAGATAAATTTTGAGCAATTTTCCACAACATCGAAATATGATTAGTATTTCAGTTAAATTTCACACACTTAAGTGTGTGAGATCTATTTTGTGTCAGATTTCTCAATACGATTCCAGAATTTTGTTTCAATAGTTGTATGCCACACTTAGGTGGTCGGATATGCGGACATTTGAGATATATATTTTGTGTAATGTTTCTCAATATTATTTCAGAATTTTCATTTCAATTTTTGTATACCCCACTTAGGTGGTCGGATAGGTGGACATTTGAGATATGCTTTGTGTAATGTTTCTCAATATGATTTCCGAGTTTCCATTGCGATTGTTTTATGCCACACTTAGGTGGTCGGATAGGTGGACATTTGAGATCTACTTTGTGTAATGTTTCTCAATGTGATTTCAGAGTTTTCATTGTGATTGTTTTATGCCACACTTAGGTGGTCGGATAGGTAGACATTTGAAATATACTTTGTGTAATGTTTCTCAATATGATTTCAGAATTTTCATTTCAATTCTTGTATGCCACACTTAGGTGGCCGGATAGGTGGACATTTGAGATATACTTTGTGTAATGTTTCTCATTACGATTTCGGAATTTTCATTTTAATGTTTCATGCCACACTTAGGTGGCCGGATAGGTGGACATTTGAGATATACTTTGTGTAATGTTTCTCAATATGATTTCAAGAGTTTTCATTTTGATTGTTTTATGCCACACTTAGGTGGTCGGATAGGTGGACATTTGAGATATACTTTGTGTAATGTTTCTCATTACGATTTCGGAATTTTCATTTTAATGTTTCATGCCACACTTAGGTGGCCGGATAGGTGGACATTTGAGATATACTTTGTGTAATGTTTCTCAATATGATTTCAAGAGTTTTCATTTTGATTGTTTTATGCCACACTTAGGTGGTCGGATAGGTGGACATTTGAGATATACTTTGTGTAATGTTTCTTAATATGATTTCAGAAGTTTCATTTCAATTCTTGTATGCCACACTTAGGTGGCCGGATAGGTGAACATTCGAGATATACTTCGTGTTATGTTCTCAATATTATTTCAGAATTTTCATTTTAATGTTTAATGCCACACTTAGGTGGCCGGATAGGTGGACATTTGAGATATATTTTGCATGATGTTTTTCAATACGATTTAAGAATTTTCATTTTAATGTTTAATGCCACACTTAGGTGGCCGGATAGGTGGACATTTGAGACACTTTGTGTAATATTTCTCAACATGATTTCAGAATTTTTATTTCAATTCTTGTACGCCACACTTAGGTGGCCGGATAGGTGGACATTTGAGATATATTTTGTGTGATGTTTCTCAATATGATTTAGGAATTTTTTTTAATTGTTGTATGCCACCCTTAGGTGGTCGGATAAGTTGACATTTGAGATATATTTTGTGTAATGTTTATCAATATGATTTCAGAATTTTTATTTCAATTCTTTTATGCCACACTCAGGTGGCCGGATAGGTGGACATTTGAGATATATTTTGTGTGATGTTTCTCAATATGATTTAAGAATTTTTTTTTTCAAATGTTGTATGCCACCCTTAGGTGGTCGGATAAGTTGACATTTGAGATATATTTTATGTAATGTTTATCAATATTATTGGAATGCCATAATTTTGACTTGGTATTGATATCTTGACACTCACAACATAGAATCTGTTTAATCTATATGTTGCACCATAGATAGGGTTGGAATAGGCGAACATTTGTGATATGCTCTGTGTATTTCTCAGTTTCAAATATATAACACGTTTGGATCAATTTGTTTCGATTTGTCTACCTTCACCTTGCATTTTGAGTATTTTTTGATATAGAAGAATATTTCCAACACCAAACACAGTGCATCTCCCTTCCACGAAAGACGGAACATTGAAAAAGAAATGCTATTTTTTGTGATAAATATTGCTAAAGGGTTCGAATCCATCGGAAATTGAAGCGAGGTCATACGCTTTAAAATGTGTATTAAAATAAAAGCAACATCAGTTATGTAGACATCCAGAGCGACATATAAGAGGAGTCCGACTTAGTGCCGAAATAGGCTAAAACATTTGGTGGTCTGAATTAAGTGGACGAATTAAGCGGACAAAAATTCTATATCTTTTATCGAGAGGATTGTGTTGACTCTTTTTCTCCGTAGTTGTCAACGGCTCTCGCGCTCTCCAAGCACGTATTTAAAAACAATGATACGGACACAGGAACGACGTCCGCTTAAGTACTGCAATTATGGCAGGTCCGTTTAACTACCGTAATAGAGTTATATATATATATATATCAGCGAGCTAATAAACAAAATATCCCAGTTTGAATATGAGTTCCATAGTCAGACCCGTCCCACCGCTTATACAATCAAAAGTGTATGCGAAAGATTGCGATCCTTTCAAAACTATTCGATCATTAATCAAGCAAATAACATATTTCTAAATAAATTTCTACCGTTCAAAATTACCACATGCAGAAATAACTTGGAGAAACTAAGAATTAAAAGTAAATTCATTTTACCTGTTTGGTCTTTCATCCACTTTCACGCAAATCAACGGCACAGGATTCAATTCATCTGAAGTAATTTCAAATCCCACAAAACAGCTGCTACCGTTTATATATGTATGCTTTAATCAGTTCGCGTAACTAAACATTCTTGAAAAAGTGTACATGAAGAGCGACCGTAAGTTACGTGTTATATGTGTATTACAAAATCGAATACCTCAAGCACAATTCACCCTGTGGGTATATTTCTTGAAAACAAACAGATACTTTTACTTCCACCTGATACTTATTAATTAAACTTGAATATAAGCTGTTCCCTGGCTGTTTTGTGACTTTACCACAATAATACCTGCTAGCAGACGAAATTAAACATCACCATGAGCCGTATAACCGCCGAGGTAGAAGTCCGGAGAAAGTTTCCAACCCACAAGTCGCGGTAAGGTTGAATATTAAAACAGTAATTGTACAGTTCTATGAATTGATAATAAACTTTCGTTATATTCATTAAAACTTCTGTTTTATTTGAGATAGTAAATATTACGCCATATTTGCTCACTAAACGTTTCACGGAAACTGTGTTGACAATACAGCTTCCTGCATTTTTTTCGTTCCACCTATCACGTATCTGGTTTATCTTTAAAAGTATATCAATTTCAAATCTCCCACCACTCACAAATGTATGTTTGCATGCCGTTTAAAATTGTTAAAGATTTTGAAGAGCCACATTCTAAATTTCATTCTAGTCATCGATCAATCTCAGAGTATTTGGCTCTGAATCTAACATTCGATTTATTGTGGAGGAATTAAAAATATTATTACTTATTCAACTATTTCAAATGTAGAAAAATAAGCAAATATATAAATTTCCCTTTTGTACTAGTTCGAGATTGCTATTTATCGAAGTAGTGCTGGGTATTTCCATCTTAGCGAAATTGCGATAACTACTAAACTTCACGATACATTGAACTTTCCTAAAACGAGCATGGAAAATTACCCTTATACGAGAACTCATATTATACTGAAAGTCTTACAGAATTCATTGTTCTAGGTGGCCTTGGCACACAAATTCTCACACAGTTGCTTACTGAACAACGCCTGATGTTACAAAATCATGAAATTTTTAATTTATTGCGACTATATATATACTACGATCAATATCTGACCGGTGTGAAAAAAATAGATAGCTATTCATTTTAATAACTTTCGTGACACCTACTATCTTAGTCCACACACGAAAACTTTTGAGTTACATTTATGAAGTTGTGGCAATAAATAGGTTCTATTTATGAAAAGAATGCAACGATAAAATTATAACTGAAATTCTGACGTCGCTAGGAGAATTTATCCCATTACTATGGGATAACTTTTGAATGCGCGATGAAGTGTGGCCATTTTGCTTTTCCCTCCGGCATCAGTCACGAGTTTAATTTGTCAATTCCGATCCAGAGTCAAAATGTTGAAAACGCCCAAAATCTATTTATGATTTACCATAATATTATATGGTTTGCAATTCTGTCGCTTCAATTTTATCGCATATAAATTATATTCTAATAATAAACTAATTTCATTCTTGCCCTACGAAAAATCAGATGTACCAGAATAGTATAATGCATAAATCAATTCTAAAATCGTCTGAAGGCCTGTCGTCTAAATTTTAGAATCGTGTCTAACGTGGACGGTCAACATTTATATTTAAGGCGAATCGAATTACTAAAACTGTTACCTCATGAGCTTTATATATACGCAATACTATATCGTGGCAATTAGAGATCCCGTCAAAAAAATCATATTACGTGCATATCCAATTATGCCCAGGGGAAGAATTCAATAAATATTTTAATTGCAATTGATCCAGTCGTAAAATGCTTTCAAAATTTTAAATCTAACAGCCTCGGAGCCCAGTCATTGCTCTTAATGAAAGACTTCAAAGATTATTAATTAGACCAGAAATTTGACCGTTTAATTGCTTAATGCTTAAATTCAATGCGGTTCCGCAGCAAATGAAACGATCAAGAGCATTCACACCGGCCACTTATGTATTGGATGGCTTTAGTCTGCGATATTCCGTACATTGACTTCGGATATTATTATGATGTTTGCATATTTGTTGAGTGTAGGGACACACTCAACAAATGTGCAAACATCATAAAGATATCTTTAATAAACTTAGGGACATTTTTATTTGTAAACGACCAAGATGATATATTAAATTTTCATACTGTAAATCGTGAGTGATATTTGGCCCGACAAAGGTCATTTTGAGAAGTCAATTTGTGATATGGTGTGCCTTAATCATTATCGCGTTACGATGTAGGACAAAATACCGTCGAAACGTTAGACTATATCCTGATTCACTAAACTCGTTTCGACGAATTGAGCTCTTGTATTTGCACATTACACGAGTATTGTCACCTAATCGAGTCCTGTCCTGTCGGCATGAATGATTTCCTAAGCCTGTCTGGCATACGTGAACATTCAGCGCACGGGATTAGTCGGGTAAGTAGACTGGCCACACGCAAGAAACACAAACGCTGAAATTTTTGAATGTTAATCAATTTGTTCGTGGTCGGCTTCAGGTCCTTGCAAATCCTATCTATTCTCAACGTAGATTTACATTCTCTACATTCAAACACTTTAGCTTCATAAATAAGGCGGCTTCCTACTGAAAGTTGTTTTTCCTGTGACTCAAACACCCAGTTTCCGTCCCACCTGGTTATTTAGCTAGCGTCGATATCATTGTATGATACGCAGTTCCAATCACACTAAGTCACGCATAGTTGGCAATAATACTGAACTTCAATCTAAGTGCCAATTCAGAGAAGCTTTTTAGGCAAAAGCTTTCATTTTGGTATTAACACTTGCGCAAGATTATTTTCGTCTAGCTATGACTGAGCGTATTATAATACAAACAAATTGTGCGCTAGGTATGAGTCAGCACTTCTTATCGATGCTCGTACGATCATTCGTGATTTATGCGAGAAATATTTATGTCGCTTCAGTGCAGGCCAAGTGTGAGTCGCATCAAACCCACGTGAAGCAATCATTTCAGATTGAATCAAATGCCACCGCTTCTTTGTATACTTTGTATATTTAAAAAGCGAAGTCATCATGAAAATGTACGTCCAAATTCTTTGGGTGGTTGACTATCCAAACTTGACTTTTATTTAATCGAATCGAATATGAAATTATCGGAATCGGTTCAGAGCGAAATTTCGAATGTCCGCCATCTTGTTTTTTTTTCCGCCATTGGTCGAGGTGAATTTCTCAAATTTTTTTTATTGAAGCCACACTTTTTCAACGCAATTCAGACATATGACTCTTTTCTGTATTGAGGTATTGATGAAAACGCGTTTTTTATTGTGTGTGAACGCTCAGCAATCTGCCTGAGTAATGTATTCTATGTTTTCGGTAATTTATGTGTCTGGGGGACTTATTCAATAAGAAAGTTATATATATACAATTTTATTACAGTATTCGAGATTCGATTCGAAAAAATTATTCGATTCGATTCTGAAATGATCTGGTATTCGAAAATGCCCAGCCCTAGCAATAATATAGCTGAAGTAATTATGTGAGTACAGTATTTATAAGACAAGAACAAAAGATATCACTCATATAAAGAACATTGAATGCCTAAACGTACTTCTGTACGTACTAATTACTGTTGCATCAAAGCATCTATCTAATCAATATAATAATAGAAAAAGTAATAGGCGAGGGGACGTAATTTCACATTTTAGTGCATTGTTCCACATGAATGTGAAGTCTACTCTTGTATGGAAATTCGAGGATGGCTAAGCTCCAACATTATTTATCAAGTTGAACAACCTACAAATCAGTTACAAACGAGTTTTTGTGTTGGTTTTTAGGTATATATACACATATATATATTCTCCATTAACGATTTTTAACGAAATTGGATCAATAGTATTCTCAATACAATCACTAACATTTCATGAATGATCATCAATTCAACATTTCTATTTAATGAATGAGTGATTCTTGATGCATTCTACGTTCTCCACTAACATTTCATGAAAGATCATCAATTCTTTTTCATGAATGAGTGATTGTTGATGCATTCTTTATTCTCCACTAACATTTCATGAAATATCATCAATTCTATTTCATGAATGAGTGATTCTTGATGCATTCTACATTTTCCGTAATATAGAAGTAACACCGAATCACAAATAATCATAAAAGGCTCTTTCACTTCAAACCTTTCATATTCATTGGAAATCTCGGACTCGCATAACAGAAAACTCGATTATATTGCATATCTTATCAAATTGACGTCATCCTTGAATTGTATGGCTCTGATTTCAAAATCAACGTCATTCTTGATGGTAAGCGTCATCGGGCACACGCAATGTATTCTGGAGTTCCTAATGACTCATTTCTTGGATCTAAATTGCTCCTTATGATATTCATAAATGACCTTTAAATAATCCTGTATACAATTTACACATATTTATAATGACGACACAGGTCTTTCTTCTTATCCTGTTGTAAAGTCTAGTAACCAAAACCGTCCAAAAGTTATCGGCTGTGAGACGAGGCTCTGAAAAACGCCAAGAAAATGAGTTTTGTAGCGCACATACGGGAAACTAACTACTTGGAAATAAATATAAAATGTTCCTTAGAAATTTAGTAACAACTAATACCTTGTTCGTATTCCCAAAAGTTGCACGTTTTACGAAAAAGACGCTTTTACTACAAGAAATATGCGCTACGATCTACCCTATATTCTCTACTTTTCCGGCAACATTGGCCAATGAACGCAGACTTCTGTATGACGTAACAATTAAAATTTGATCAGCTGTCCGCATGCGAATGAATCTCAGTTTGTAGCCCTTCCATCGTCATTTTTAGTTTTTGGACACGTTAGTGCACATAACGATCGTTTCAATATTAGGTTGTTGTTGGACACGTAGTGGACATAACGATCGTTTCAATATTATGTTGTTGTTGTTCTTGTTCTTGTTGTTGTTCTTGTTCTTTGACACGTTTCTAAAAAGTCGCTTTTCTCTTCGAATACTGGACCAATTGCTTTGAAATTTTCAGTGGTTGAAGATTAATTTTTTCGCTAGAAGGCTATTACTTTTGTTTATTCTTAAATTTTATATGAATCCTATGAGATATGATATTTCATACAAAATTTCGCGGTATTTATTTTTACTCATGGGAACACTGTTTTACACTTATTTCAAGCGGTTT